CTGTTTTCAGCCAATGAGAACTCTTGATTCTTTGCTCTTCACGTTTCCAGCTGCTCAGTTGGTGCACCGCCTTGCTTTTTAGAAGTCTTTAACTCTACGTTACCTGCAAAGTGTACAGAAGCATTAAATGCGTCTCAGTCCCTTACCCTTTTAATATATTTTAAAGGAATACGTTACCATCCGTTCCCCCACTGTGTTTTTGTCACAAATGTGTAAAACAAGTTATTTTCATGCTGAAGTTGCTCATCAGATGATGGAACGTATGGTATTTTGCCATCAAAATGGGCTTAGATGGGAACGAATTTATGTCCCATCACCTATAAACCACGGTCTCTCTCCGACTTCAGAAACCACTTTAAAATATGAGCCCTTGAAGTCTTTAAAATAGTTGCTGTAAACGAAGAACAATTTTCTTGAGGGCTTGCTGGCACAACCACGGATGCTGATCCACCCTTTGAATTGAGGAGGCTCAGAACCGGTGCGAGGAGCGTATATGTTAAAAAAATAAAGAAAAAGGGGGACAGTGCATGTTACAGACAAGGATGCGCATAGTTGCTCAAAAGCAACAATATAGGCCCAACCATTGAATCCCACTGGATTACCTGTGGGGAGCCCGGATATCTCTTCGGTGGTCATGGTGGATCTGGAGCTGAGAACATCCTCAGTGACCCATGGAAATTGTTGGCGAAGATTACTACTGACCGACGTGGACCCTTTCTCGGCCGGGCTCACCTCGGCCTCCTGTCCTTGGCTAGATGAGGTAATCTCCATATTTAACTCTGCAGAAGGGGACTCCAAAAAAACCTAGAACAACAAAATGGGAGGATTAAAAGCAGAAAAAGTACGTAGCAAAGAAAGTACGCACCTTAGCTAAACAAACTACTATGAGAAGAGCTTGAAGAATCATCTGAGGTAACCAAAGAAGCAGGGGTAGATGAGCCGAGATGGTGTGAACAACTGCCCAACACTAGATCGGCCATGAAATCGTTTCCTTTTTCAACAAACTGAGCGCTAAGGTAAACGCGATTGAAGCAAAGATCCGAATTTCTACCACCCGGGTTAATTGACACGGCTTGGAAAGGAGGTCGAAACGAAGTAGGGCTGTGAGTGGAGGTTGAGGTCGAACGAAAAGGGACAGAGGTTTGACCTAAGTTACGAGTAGCACGTTCTAGTAAAACACCTAGAGCACGGCTAAGACCTCGGCAGCGCCCTCGGGTAGAGGGACAAGATGAAGACGCTCCCCTATTTCTACCTCCTCGATAGCCTCCAAGTAAGGCAGCCTGTGTTTCCTCCTCGGTCCGAGGTCTACCAAACAACCAATATCTCGGACCAGGAGATAGGCTCTGGATGAACCTTTCTTCTTCTTCTGCAGTCCTTTCCTCTTCCTCCGCGTCGATTCCATCACTACGGCCGAAGATACGAGGGTAAGTGGGTCTCCCTCGACCACTGAAGTTCCTCTCACTCATACTAGGAGAAACTTTTGAACTAAGGAACAATAGAAGATAAACAATGGCAGGCAGTATCAGAGAAGCTTCATGCGGACAATGTGTAACATGCCAGTAAGGTGTAATCAGACAAACAAGGATTAAACATGCACGCAAAATGCAAATGTGGTAATACCAGAAGCATCACAGGTTCAAAATATACCACAAAATAGTAAAAGGCAGGAAACAACACTGAAAGAAAGTAAAAGATGGAGGGAAATTATGAAGCATACCTGGAAGAAGCTTGAAGAATCGAGAGCGTTTGCAAAATGGGAGAGAAGTTCAAAAGCAGGATCAGAGAAATGGGCACGTAATAAGAAAATGTGAAGGAGAAAGAAAAAATTAAAAGAATATGACCCGCGAAACGAAAGGGCAGGGGCAAAAGAGTAAAACTGATAGAAAGAACAGTTGAGGGACGTCCTGACAGTTACAATTAATGGGAATGGCATAGGTCGGAGTAGTGGCACACGTCGCATTGGTTAGGGGGAGCCACGTGGAAGGTAGTTATCATTGCGTGGGAAGAGAATTGTTTCTCAGAGAAGGAGAATTGTTTCTCAGAGAAGGAGAATCGTTTCTCATAGAAGAAGAATCGTCATTCAGGAAGGGAGAATCGTTTCTCAGAGTAAGAACCTCTGTTATAGTTCGGCTGGTCATTTCGGCCTAGAATGTATGTCCAAATCGCAATCGTTATCCAGGAGGGATATCCCGGATATGATTCACAACCAGGATAATCCAAAGCATTCTGTCCCTCTTTTCTAGTGAAGTAGAATGTAAATTGAAACCGGGGTAAGAAGCAAACTGAGATAAATCATCTACACAGAAGAAAAGGACTCGGACATCCCGGCACCCTGAATACTCAGTCTACCGGGATGAGGGCAACTGTTATGGACCCGAGTAAGGCCCATATCCATAGAAGGCCTAAGCAATACAAGCCCAAAGGTAAGCACTATAAATAGGAGCTAAAGACCACAGGTATGACTGATCTTTTTTAACCTACTTTTATGCAATCGCACAACGCACACACACCCCCTTTGGCTAAGGCCGTCATATAGTGTGTTGTGATTCGCTGCCCCCAAGATACCTAATTCATAGGTATCCAAAGAGAAAGCACCAGATCCTACATCAATCATCTAACCTCCGGTTAGACATCTCTGCCTCAGGCAGAACACATGTGCAAGGACGCGCCCTACATAGGCGCAACCTGTGCAAAGTCGCGCCCCATCCAGGCACGACTTTGCACCATTCACACGCTAACACGTGGTACAAAAATCAATATTTTAACCATAAAACTTTGGAAGGTCGTAACTTTTGACTCGGATGTCTGAATCAGGTGATTCTTTTTTTGATTCCACATAATTTTTCAAGATCTATGCAATGACATCTCATTTAAGGGGATTCAGGCAAAAAATTTCCATTTTTTTTTAATTTAAGACATTTTATAGTAAAACTTCTGAAGACCATAACTTTTAAATCGAGTATCCGACTCAGGAGCTCTTTTTTTTTATTCCATATATTAAAAAATTTTATGTGGGAATATTCAGCTCATGTAATTGATCACATGGAGTATTACTTGGGTGTTTGAAATATGTAGTTTTTTAAAAAAAGGTTTTTGAAAAAAATGATAACATAATATCACGTGGTCCTATTTTTTGGGAAATTTATTTGACCAAATTCCCTTTTTGAGTTGAATTTGTCACGCATAGCTCTCGGAAAGTTATATGGAATAAAAAAAAACACCTGATTCGCATATTCAAAAGTTACGGCCTTCCGAAATTTTACGGTAAAGTATTTTAAATTCGAAAAAAAATTTGGAATTTTTTTATCCAAATCCCCTTCAATGAGATGTCATTGCATAAATCTTGAAAAATTATGTGGAATAAAAAAAATTCACTTGATTCGGACACCCAAGTCAAAAGTTGTGGCATTTCAAAATTTTACGATCAAAATATTGCCTTTTGTAACATGTGTCTGCGTGTGAATAGTTTCACGCTTGGTTTGGGGCACGTAATGAGAAGGCCCCTGGATGCTCCGTAGAACAAAAGTTTGTTACCAAGAGCTTAACACAAAGGAAGGTAGAGGTAGACCGAAACTTATTTGGGGGAAGGTAGTAAAACAAGACTTAACAGAGTGAGATATAGATTGACGGACGGTGTGCCTTAGAACGGAATGAAGAAAAACTATAAGCATGGTGGAGGGTTAGACCCGTTGCTATTCCTATGTTCCAGATGGTCTCTTTTTAGTCATTTTCCTCTTCATTTCCCTTTCCTCTTCTTTTCCCCTTCTTTTATATATATATATATATAGGAAAACGTGTGTGTCATTTTAGGAGAGAGATAGACACAAAATAAATTTTTTTATTTAAAATTTAAATTAAAAAAATCATCCATTTTATCTCTCATGATTTTCATTTCTTGTGTGTATCTCTCTCCTAAAATGACATAATTTTATGTCATTTAAAATGACAAACACTTTTCCCATATATATTGTCATTTTAAATGACATAAAGTTATGTCATTTTAGGAGAGAGGTAGACACAATTTTTTTTTTTATTTTAAATTTAAATTAAAAAAACCACCCACTTTCTTTCTCCCATGATTTCCATTTCTTGTGTCCATCTCTCTCTTAAAATGACATAACTTATGTCATTTAAAATGACAAACATCAAACCCGATATATATATAAATATATATATATATATATTATTACTATTTTATTTATTTTTATTTTTATCTTATTTAACCTGTTCGATACAAACTCCCTTTTGATGATACATATTGATGGCCTTGTGAATCATATTATATTGTATGAATCGTATCGTATATCGTAAGATACTGATAACTATGACACAACTAATGTGATTTTGACGTATCCTATATTTGCTCTGCAAAGCTGACTGTAATTCGGGAACTTGGTTTCAAATTTGATTTATTCTAACTACATATATGGTTAGGGATCTTAACATATCCAATATTTTCCTATTATGTGATTAGGAATTCTTCTATTTTGGGAGCTTGACCCTTATGTTTAGGGATATACTTGAATCATGGTTTCCCTTTAACTACATATGGTTAAGTTCCCTGATTAACACAGCCCCTTAAAAGCCACAGTTCAAAACTTCATTTTTCCCATTACATATGTCGCGTTTTCGTGTCAGTGTAACCAGTTTATTTCTCTTCTAGCTTCCTCTCATTTTCTCAGCAAGCTTCAAATTCTGGTTCTTTCTATGTCTCTTCAATCTTCAAAATTCATTTATCGCGTCTTACATTGTTTTTTCTTCATTGATTTTCTTGTTTTCAATTATTTACATAATTAAAAAATTAAGCCATTATATAAAAATTAAGAGTGTAACTTATATTAATATAAAATAACCCTATTTTATATTATGTTTTTGTTCCTGGGATCATCTTGAATTATGCAATAGAGCTCTAGTTTAGCGTTTGAGAGTTGATATTATTATTATTATTATGGATGATAAAGTTGTGTGATTGTGTGTGTTTTTTAACTGTAGAGAAGAAGATGCCGACGAGTGGCAGCGTTGCAAATAGGAATGGTTTGATTGAGACTCAGAAAAAGCAGAACAGGGTTTGTGATGAGGGCGAAAGCACACCAACGGTGAAGGCTCAGACAATTGATGAACTTCACTCACTGCAGAGGAAGAAATCTGCACCCACCACCCCCAACGGGTCTCAGTCTAACTTATTTAACCTTTCTGAGGATCAACGCCACAAACAGCAGCTCCAATCCATCAGGTACATAAATATTATTACACTAATTGTAATTGGAAGGTGTTAATTATTACATTTACTTGACCTTAAAATTTTCATGTAATTCATTCACAATTAAACAATATAACATCGCATGAACTTACATTACCTATAAGGGACGGTGATACAACGAAATTTCGTTCCTTTATCAACCTCAAAAATCAAAAGACGTCGATAAATTCCGGTTTGAATACTGTGCGCTTCTTCTAATTTTATTTTCTCCCTTCCCATGATTTGAATTTCGATCATAGCAAGTAGCATGCTTTGTGACTCAAAGTCTCTGGTTTGAACTCAGGAAATGATTTTTTTATGATTATGTAAGGGTATTATTCTTAATCCACACTCGTTAGTCAGAATTCAACGAAGAGTGATTTTTATGATTCAAATTTGAATTTTTTTATTAAGGGAGTATATTTCTTATGATTATTAATTATCATCTAAATTTTACAAATACGTTAATTTTATCGCAATTTCCCTAAAAAAAACAAGAGTTTCCATTTATGCATGATATCTCTATCTCAAGTGGATCCCATTCAGGTTAGTGTGTTTTATTTGAATTTTCAAAAACATAATATTAATTTTGTGCCTGTAATAACAACAAAATTAGTTTGACTTGACAAACCTACAAAAATTCCGGGAGAAAATTATGGGGATGAATAGAAAACGTGCAAGTATTGAAATGAATAACATAATTAATTGACTTTTTTTTTTCTTTCCTCGTTTGTAACGTTTCAGATTCGCTTAATTATTAAAAATCATTTTTCAAAAAAAATGTCTTAATAAAATTTTAATTATAAAGTTTAAATGATTAATCACTATTATTTGAATTAACTGACTTTTATTTTCTTTCCTCGTTTGTAACGTTTCAGATTCGCTTAATTACTAAAAATCATTTTTCAAAAAAAATATCTTAATAAAATTTTAATTATAAAGTTTAAATGATTAATCACTATTATTTGAATTAATTGACTTTTATTTTCTTTCCTCGTTTGTAACGTTTCAGATTCGCTTAATTACTAAAAATCATTTTTCAAAAAAAAAATATCTTAATAAAATTTTAATTATAAAGTTTAAATGATTAATCACGATTATTTGATGAATCAGTGCATCTTTGGCGTCGCTGACAAGAGAAACAGGACCCAAGGTAGTGAAGGGAGATCCAGCTAGAAGGTTCGAAGCACCAAGGGTTGCTCACGTTTCGCACCCCCGGGTCACACCCACCATCGCTGTTAGCGACAGTGCCTTAAAGTTTACCCATGTCCTCTACAACCTCTCCCCTGCAGGTTCTATTTTCCTCTTTCTTTTTATTATTTTATAGGAAAAAATAAAGTATCCTTCCTTGTGTCCACTCAGTAATTTATATAAAGTCTTACTAATAAGACTTTACAGACTTCCTATGAATTTGAAAAATTATCTTCTTTTTTTCTTGTATCAGTCACGTTATCGACGTGTAAATTGAAAAAAAAAAAAAATTTACATTTATTTAAAATCTTATATAAGTTTGTATTTTTTTAGATTACATCCACTAAAACTTTTTTTTATGGGTTAAATAGACGTCCTTTAAAAGGATACAAGTTGTATTCTTTTAGTAATTTACACAAAGTCTGACGAGTAAGATTTTGTATAAATTTGAAAAGTTACATTTTTTTCTACTTTACATGTCAGCGATGTGACTAGAGAGAGAAAAAAAAATAACTTTTCATATTTACACAAAATCTTATCGGTCAGACTTTGTATAAATCACCTAAAAAATACATACAAGCTTATGTTCTTTTAAAGAATACTTCTTTTTCCCTTCTTTTATATACTTCTCAATTTTCATAAATTAAATGCAACTGTCGTGCACGTTCTTTTTTATCCACCTAAGCTTCTCGTAGGACAGGTCTCCTTCGTTATGTTCTATTATAAGGTGACATTACCAAATGTTATATGAATTTTCGTTGTGTGTTTTTTAATTCACAAATTGATGGTACAGATAGGTATTACATCATTTAGTACATCCGGTGTACGAAAACGAGTTCAGCATCATCTTCTCACATCTTTTATTTTGAAAAGAATTGGTCAAGCATGGCAACCTAATTAATACAAATTAATAATTAGTTGTATATAATCTGAATAATTTTCATGCAGTAAAACTTTGTGGCCAACAAAATGGTGATGAATTTACTATGAAACGTAAAGTTACATAATGTTAATGTAGGATACGTGAGAAAATCCTGTGTATGATTGTAATATACTAATATTATTATTAATGTGATATGTTATAGCGTTTTTTGGGTTTGGATTTGGAACAGAACTTTATGAACAGGCGATCAAGTATGAGAAAGGTTCGTTCATCACTTCAACTGGGGCATTGGCTACGCTTTCGGGGGCCAAGACGGGTCGGTGTCCAAGAGACAAGCGTGTGGTTAAGGATGATGTTACTGAGAAAGAGCTTTGGTGGGGAAAGTAAGCATTTTTTTACCATATTATAATGTTATTATTTTTCACTTTTTTTTTTCTTTCCCAATTTTTTTTCCTTTTTGATACTAAAAAAATTATGATTTGAAGGGGTTCCCCTAACATCGAGATGGACGAGCATAGTTTCATGGTGAATAGAGAAAGAGCCGTTGATTACTTGAACTCTTTGGAAAAGGTCATTTCTCTCCCCTTTCCTTCTATCCTCCTTCTTTCTCTCATGTGCAAATATGCAACCTTTGAAGTTAGGTAGGGTCGGATTATTGTGACAAGGCTCTATTTGGGTCGCGCCCCTGCTGGCGGAGATATTAGAACTTATGTCCTACCTCAAAGAAATAATTAGAATTATAAAATAAAATAAAAAACAATATCATTATGGTTCCCATATTTCAAAAATAAATGAAACACGATAGCATGACTCAAGAATTGATTTTGGATAAAACACGATTGCATTGGTTGATTATGTAGTCGGTCTCATCTGATTGGGAAAAAGACTTTGTTTATTGGTTGTATATTTTAAAATATGTCAAAGATATCTCTGAATATGTTGGTCTCTCTCATCTTTATAATAAGATGAGAACCTTTGCAGTCCTTTTGTCCAAGTTGCAAGCAAGATTTTCTTAACAGGAAACTCACATTTGTTTAAATCAGTGACGAAAATCTTGAACCCATCATTTCGTATCTTATCCTAACAAATATGAGCTACTGATATGTGTTTGTGTGGCTCTGCATTGAAAATTTGCGTACATCTATATTTTCCCTATTTTGAATATATGTCTTAACTTACTAGAAGTTAACCTCCATTGTCAGAAAATTATTAATCAGGATATATGAATTTGCTTTCCTCATTAATAACTGCATGAGGTACCTTATGCATTAGATAAATTGAATGTATCCCATATTCATTGTTTCTATGTCGTATTCATTTTTTTTTTTTTATAATAATGGAGGCCCTGGCCAGAGAAACTATATTAATAACTGTTGCATGTTTAAAGAAACATGCTCAATCAGTAAGTTTGCACATAAAGAATTCCAAACAGATAAAATGCTAACAGCGGGAGAGGAATATAACAACAACTCTTCACCCTTGTGATTAAATCCTAACTTTGCTAAACTATCTGCACGTTCATTAAACTCCCTAGGAATAAACTTCCAAAGGATTTGATCAAAACTCTAAGTAGCTTTCATGATTCTATCGATTAAGGAAGCAAAGCCACATTGGTTAGCTTGAGTTTCTACACAGAGGAGAGCTTATTTGTTATCACATTCAAGCCAAATTTTCGAGTATTTTCTATCACCTGCTAGCTTTAGTCCTTGCAAAATGCCCCATAATTCAGCTTCCAAAGGAGAGGACACCCCTATATTCAAAGAAAAACCTCACAACCATTCTCCATTAGATGAACACATAAAACCACCACGAACTCCTATATTGAAATGTAAGTTTACAGCACCATCAACACAGATTCTGATTGCATCTTGTTCTACGTTCTGTCCAGTGTCTTCAAAGCATAAAGAAGAAGCAGGCCTTGGCAAGAAAGGATTAATGGTGCTATTCTTCTTCATATCAGCAAGGTAGCATAGAATTCTGTGAACTGGATCGTAAGGCCAAGAAAACATATCCTAATGAATAGAAGCATTTCCCCATTGCCATAAGAACCAGCAGGTTACAAAGAAGACTTCTTTCCAAGAGTGCCAGAGATTGGTTGAGAATGGTTTATCCAGATTCAGCCTAAACCACTCTAATCCATCTTCAGACATGAAGTTAATAGGGATTTTTCCAGCAAACCATTTTTCCCATATGCTTCTTGCAGCTTTACAGTCTCTGAGAGTGTGAATTATAGTCTCTTGACCAGTGAAACAAATGGGGCAATGAATCTCCCCTCCACCCGAGTGACAAGTTATGCTTCTAACAGGTAATTTATTCAGGCAAGCCATCCATATAAAAACTGCAATCCTATAAGGCCCTATCCACTTCCAAATCGCAGACCAAATTTTGTCTTTCCCAGTACCAGAATCCATCATCTGACAATAAGCATTCTTCACAAAGGATTTACCTGGACTTCTTTTTTTCCAATTTAGCCAGTCATCTGGGTTGCTGGATCTTGGAGGAGAAATGCTATTTATCTTGCTTAAAACAGATTCATCAAGAAAATTCATCAAGTAGCTCCATTTCCACTACCCTGTACTCAAATCAACAAGCTCATATACTTTTAGATCTAGATCAGAGTTGGGAGGTTTAGATGAAGCCAGATCAAAAAGGTTATTTTTCTAACCTCCCCATACATCTGTCCAGAAAAAAGTATCCTCCCCATACATGATGTGACATCTTCTCTCTGGCTGTACAAATATTCTTCCAAAGGGTAGAGTCACTCATTTTTGCAATCAGGCTACGTTTAGGACTCTGCTTCCTTCCATATTTGCTAAGCAGAACCTGGGCCCAAAGACTATCTTGATCATTGACAAGCTGCCAAGCAATTTTCTGCATGAAAGCTTCATTCTGAATCCTCAGATTTATAATACCAAGACCTCCACACTCCTTAGGATAACACAACTGTTCCCAGGCTACATAATGTGCTCTTCTTTTGGACTCTGAGTCACCCCAAATAAAATTGTATTGCAACTTTTCAATATCCTGACAGACATGAGCTGGCAGAATGTTACTCTGCATCTGGTAGCAGGGAATGGCAGAGATTACACTTTTAGCTAAAGTGATTATGCCTGCCAGAGATAAGCACTTGGATTTCTAGCCTTGAAGTCTGTTTTGCACTCTAAAAATCACATCAGCATAGTGATCTTTCCTAATTCTTCCATGTCTCATCAGAACTCCCAAATACCGACCAAGGTTATTAACCTTTTTAAAACCACTTACAGTAGAAATATTATCCACAGCCTCCTGAGGAGTATTTTTGGAGAAAAAGATGCAGGATTTCTCTATACTCACACACTGGCCTGACATACTAGAAAAGATCTTCAAACAATTGATAATACTGTTCAGTTGACTAAGAAAAGCTTCAGCAAATAGGATGATATCATCCGCAAATAAAAGGTGAGATATAATGGGACCAGATTTGCCAGCCTTGATAGGTATCCAATTCTTCCTCTCCACTTCATCCATGATTAGGTGGGTGAGCTTTTCCATACATAGAACAAAAAGATAAGGGGATAAAGGATCCCCTTGTCTTATTCCCCTTGTCTTATTCCCCTCTGAGACTGAAATCCAGGAGTTCTTGTTCCATTCCATAGAACCTCAAGGTAAGGGCTAGAAACACATCCCATGATAGCATCAATCATAGCTTCTGGTAGTTTCAGATCTTCTAGGACTGTTCTTATGAACTTCCAGTTGAGTTTGTAATAAGCTTTCTCTAAATCAATTTTGATAGAGAAGAAACTTTTCCTACCTTTCATCCTACGCATAGAGTGTATAAGTTCCTGTGCAATTATGATATTGTCCTGAATGTGTCTCTTTGGAACAAAGCTAGTCTGATTTGGGGATATAATATTCCCCAGGAGAGGTTTAATTTTGTTGGCCAGGATCTTGCTAAGTCCCTTATACACAGAATTGCAAAGAGCAATAGGCCTGAATTGCTTCATCAAGCAAGGTCTATCAACTTTGGGAATTAGAGCAATAAGAATGTGGTTTATTTCTCTATCTGATTCGGATGATGAAGATAGTACTGCATACTGTTGAAGATTTGGGTTTTGAAGAAATCTCGATTTCTTTGATAAAACATGGCTGGAAGTCCATCTGGTCCAGGAGCTTTAAGAGGAAGCATTTGAAAAAATGCATTTTTTACATCCTCAAGAGTGATATTCAGAGACAGCTTAACAAGTTGGTCCTCTTTTATTTCTGGCCAATTATTTCTAGTTTGACTTCAGACAGGATCAGCAATATCTTCCTTAAACAAATTTAAGAAAAATTCATTAATTCCTCTTCTCCAGTCACCCAGCAGCCATTATCATCCTGGAGTTTTAGAATTTTGTTTTTTTCCTACGAATCAAAGTACTAGTGTGATAAAAACGAGTGTTTCTATCACCATCTCTAATCCATTCTCCCCTGGACTTTTGATACCAAATTTGCTCCTCCTGATCCAGAATTTCTGATAGCTCCTTCCTCAGCTTAGTTTCCAACTCTTCAAGTTGGTAACTATTTTTAGAATTAAGCTGCCTTTTGAATGCCCTCCATACGAGCTATCACTCTGTTTTTTCTATGATAAATAAATCCAAAAATGTTCTTGTTCCACTCCTTTAGCAATGGAATAAAGGAATTCACACTTTCCAATAAGCTAGCTGTAGGATTCCAATTTGCTTTAAGGAAATGGTTAAATCTGGGATCATTTTGCCAAGTAGCCAAAAATCTAAAAGGTCTCTCCCTCCAACCGATCTCTCCCTCCAACTGGTCTCGTCTTTCTCCATTCTAATGAGGATAGGGCTGTGATCCGAGAAAAGCCTAGGGAGAACTAAGACATCATCTTCCTCAAAGTTTTCTCTCCATTCATCATTAGCTACTGCTCTATCTAGTCTTTTATATACTCTGTCTAGATGGAGAAATTTAGGTCCTTTCCAAGTGAACATATTTCCCCCACCCCCCTGATCCATAGCCCCACAAGCATCTAGAACATTGTTAAACCTGTTGCAACGATTAATATCTACTGGCCCCCCTCCTCTTTTTTCTAAAGCTGAGGCTATTTCATTAAAGTCACCAGATAGCATCAAAGGGTCATTCATAATTCTTCCTATTTGCTCCAACTCTTCCCATAGCATCCTGCGTTTCTCTTCTTGAGGATTGGCATATACAGCTGTCCAAAAGAAGCCTTTCTTGTCAGGAAACTCCACCCAAATATGGATGAATTGATCATGTTTAACATGAAGAGTAATCTTCACATCACTGTGATTCCACATTATCCAAATCCCTCCAGCAAAACCTTTCGCATCATCAATTATGTAATTGAAAAATCCCAAACTACGAATTATGCTTATAGCTTTATTTCCACTTACTCTTGGCTCTAAGATAGCAGCTACACCAACATTATGCTTTTTTTTGAAATCTGTTGAAGGTACTCTTAAACTGTTTTTTTGCAGCACCTCTACAGTTCCAAGTTAGGATATTCATTGAGAACTTTGGGATTGTTGCAGGATTCCAAAGTTCTTCCTACTTAACTCTTGACATTCAACATTAGGCTCCTGAATTCCAGCCTCTCCATCACCACAAACTGACTCGCTTCTAACAATCATAGCATTATTCAGGTTTGCACACAGTGATAATTCAAACTCCATACCTGATTGAGCTTCCACCATCTTTACTTCTTCTCCCATATCATGATCAGGGGGATCAGGATCCTTCATAGCATTGTCACCATTCAACTTGTCATCAGAATGATTGATACTAAATTGGACAGGGTTGCCATCTCCAGAAGAAACTTCAACAGCCATCATCAAGTCACCCCATAAATTACCTTTCTGCTGCTCAAGAGGAAGTTGTGTAGAATTCTGAATAGGCTTTTGCAAAGAGTTGTTGCTTGAAGCAAGATTTGCAAGGGAACTATCAATGGCTCCCTTTCCTTTTGCATTTTGAGTCTTAGCAGGACCTTCCTTTGGAATTGGCACAGTTGATTTTGATCCTGAAACTTTCTTATCAGTATTAGAAGCTACTGCTGTAAACTTCATCCCCACAGCTGAGGGTTGGCTTTTCTCATTCACTGAGTCATTTTCCTTGTTCACCTTAGTATTAGAGGTGTCAACATCAGAATTCTTTTTAGGGAGACTTGTCAGAATGACTTTCTCATTTTTCAACCCTGTCTTTGGGCCAGCCAAGTTCTTCCTGTTGGATATATCCTCTCCAAATGTTCTGTTATTACCAGTTTTCATTTTCTGAAAATTTTGGGGACCTTTCTTTCTGCCTTGAACCACCATCCAAGGTCCTACACCTTGTGGCCCTGGGTTCTCCATTGGCTGTTCCTGAGCTTCTTCAGCTTTGGTTGTCGTGGTTGGCTTAACAAAGTCTGGACAAGAGTCTGAATTGTGTCTATATCTTTCACATTTGAGACAAATTAAGAATAGCTCCTCATATTCAACTCTTTTCCTACACCCATCGAGAATATACTCCCCTCTCAATGGCTTTGAGAGATCAATTTCTATACAGACTCTCGCAAAACGAGCTCTGTCCCCAGTAGAAGTGATTTTATCCACTTTCAGAACTTTTCCTATCATTGTTCCCAAATGATTAAGAAAAGGAAATTCGCAATATTCTTGAGGAATACCTGGTAGACGGACCCATGCTGCAACCTTGTGAATATTAGCTTTATCTGGATCAAAACATGGCTCCCATTTCCTAGTTGCAAGGTAATGGCCTAAAATGACCTAGGGACCACCTGTAATGGCTAGGTTTAGGTCTTCTAAGTTGCTAAACCTTACTGAGAAAAACTCATTTCCAAGATCCGTCACCGTTATGCTTCCAGCCTTAGCCCACAGAGACTCAAGTCTTTTCTTCATGAATCCAACCCCAAAAGCTTTACAATCAGAGCATTCTTCCAACGCTGACGCATCCTTGCTCTAGCTTCTTTGTTGCTCCTTATCTCCACTGATCTGTCGTCCCTTATTACTGTTTGGAATCCCCATTCTGTATCATTACCCAAGCGTGGGTCCAGAGGTTCCAAATCTGGTTCTTCCTCCTCAGTTATCTAGAGTATGGCATCTCCTGACACACCATTCTCCACCCCCGTTACTTCTGCAATTGATCTCTGTTTTTCGATCACCGAAGATCCAGTTTGATACTCCTTCAGTGCCTCTCTTATCCGTGCTTCCGTTGGAATTTCCTCTCCATTTTTAGTTCGCTTAGTGCTCCTTCTTGACATAGACAGTAGCTCACTGTTGTTAATATTCGCATCCCCTATTGAAAACTTTCAAAGAAAAACTCGTTGATTGAACTCTAGCATAAAGGAAAATTTTCGCGCGTGTGAAGATACGCGCCTAACCCATTGCTTGAGTTCTTTACTTGCCTCTGCCACTTTTCTTTGTATTCATTTTTTTTACCATGCCTATTTTTGAGGAATGGAATCAATAGATGGTATTTCGTAAAACGAAAATAGAGTTATTACATTTATGTTTTGAGTTACTATTGGCAAGTCCTGTTGAATTTCCTTGTGTAATGGATTAGAGAGTCTGGCCAATTTATTATTATACCTTGTTTTTGGTGGAATTTATTTATATACCTTTGCTTATAAACTTTTAAAAATATGCAAAAGCAATTTCCTTTGAAAGAGCTAACCCCACCATAATGTGGATGTTCCTAACTCGTTCAGGATTGCCTCCTGATACATATGATTTATCCAAAAAAAGAAGAAAAAGAAAATAGACTTTTTAAATATCTTATCTGAATATGAATGACAATTGGTAGTGTTATAAAAAATATTCCTGATTTTCAGGTCTTCGTGAATGACCAATTCTTGAACTGGGACCCAGAAAACCGAATCAAAGTCAGGATTGTCTCTGCTAGAGCTTACCATTCCTTGTTTATGCACAACATGTAAGTAAAAGCAAAAGCATTATTTAGCATCACACCGATACTTTGTAACACTGGGTGTGTGGCAGGTGCATCCGACCTACTCCTGAAGAGCTTGAGAATTTCGGTACACCAGACTTCACAATTTACAATGCTGGACAATTCCCTTGTAATCGTTATACTCACTACATGACATCCTCAACTAGTATAGATCTTAATCTTGCTAGGAAGGAAATGGTCATCCTTGGGACGCAATATGCTGGGGAAATGAAGAAGGGTCTTTTTAGTGTCATGCATTATCTCATGCCTAAGCGTCAAATCCTCTCCCTACACTCTGGTTGTAATATGGGCAAAGATGGGGATGTTGCTCTCTTCTTTGGACTTTCAGGTATAGTATCAATAGATCAGAAGACTGTTAATTAGAATATGGCTCCAAACTTCCGTTAGTCGGAAGAAAGATATTTTAGAAAATAGAAAAATTAAATATATTTTAGAGAAAGAGGTTATTTTTATTTCTATTCAATTCTTTTCCTTTTAATTGGATATCAAATGGTGAAAACTACATCTATTTATATTATTGATCTCTCTCCAGGTTAGAAACTAAGAATTATGTCAACACACTTTTCATCTAAAGGTTATTATAAATAATTTTGTGGAAATTGTTACGATCTTTTAGTCTAAACATGAAATCATTCTCTGTAAAATAGTATAGAATAGATTATTGTAAAGTTGAACTAAACAACTCTTTAAAATATTTATAGAAGTAGAGTCAAATATAAGTACCCAGCGAAATGAAAAAAAGGTTTACTTTTTCAAAATTGTGTAGTCATACTTTAGGTGATTATGGGGTTCCATTTGCAAGGTATGGGACTTGAGTTCCACATTGGTTGTATGGGCAACTAATGTGGGGTTTATAAAGCCTTGGACACTCTCATCCTTTGAGCTAGTTTTTGGGGTGGTTCATCTCAAGGTCTCATCAAATGGTATCAGAGCATCCATCACGTGGAGTTGTGTGTGGGGGCACGCACTAGGGAAGCGTGGTGGAATGTTGGGGTTCCATTTGCAAGGTATGAGACTTGAGTCCCACATTGGTTGTATGGGCAGCTAATGTGGAGTTTATAAGGCATTGGGCACTCCTACGTTTTGAGCTAGCTTTTGGGGTGGTGCATCTCAAGGTCTTATCAAATGGTATCAGAGCATCCATCACGTGGAGTTGTGTGTGGGGGCACGCACTAGGGAAGCGTGGTGGAATGTTGGGGTTCCATTTGCAAGGTATGGGACTTGAGTCCTACATTGGTTGTATGGGCAACTAATGTGGGGTTTATAAGACCTTGGACACTTCCACCCTTTGAGCTAACTTTTAGGGTGGTGCATCTCAAGGTCTCATCACGTGGATGTCACACGATATCCTTAGACATAGATTTGAGTTATGACTTGTTTCTTTTATCTATTTTGAACAACCTTTTTTTATTTCTTTTTTTTTATTATTATTATATATGTATATTAGGTACTGGAAAGACCACTCTTTCGACTGATAATAATAGGTATTTAATTGGAGATGATGAACACTGTTGGAGTGAGAGAGGTGTTTCAAACATTGAAGGTGGTTGCTATGCCAAATGTATTGATCTATCTAGGGAGAAAGAACCTGATATCTGGAACGGAATCAAGTTTGGTACAGGTACTACCTTATTAATCTATATCTATACTACGTACTTTTAACATCACTTCATCTTTGATTCCCTCTTATACCAAATGCATTTTGATATATTTTTCTTCACTTGGTTATTAGTTTTGGAGAACGTTGTTTTCGATGAGCATGTTCGAGATGTTGATTACGCTGACAAATCAGTTACAGGTAAGCAAAGACTGAGTTATGATTTGGTCACACCAATGAATAGTTGACTTAATATGTGCTTGGATAAACGAGGTTGCTTAGTAAACTACCATTATGTAGCAACTAGCAAGGGATAAGGATGGAATTGAATACATAAGAAGGATAAGACACGAAAACAAGTCAAGCCTCCACTTGCCAACATTTCTGCTGCAGGCTATTTCATTCTTAGGATCTGTTTAAATTAATTTATTTTTTCAGTTCTTCAAATTTATTTTTAAATAAAATTTAGAAATTGATTTTGAAAATAAAAAAATATGTAAACTTATTTAGAATATAGTTGAACTTAAAATTATAAAAGAGTTTAATTTATTTAAAAAATATCATTAATGAATCTTCATAATTATAAGATTACCACCTTAAAATAATTTAAAATTAATAAGAAGTTGAATTTATTTACAAAAATACAATTAACGAATCTTTATAATTACAAAACTGCCACTGTAAATAATAAAATTAAGAAATAAATTTTGAAAGCATCTTTTAAGTTATTCCTCAATTTTAGTTTTAAAAGAGGGGTTTAGGTAGTTCGTATTAGGTTATATGTTCAATTCTCAGCAATGTATCCAAAAAAATAAAAATTAATTACTATTTTGAGTTATTTTTATGAAACAACACTTTTAAAATAAATTTAAAAACATTTTAAAAATAAAATCAAACAGCCTTATATATATTTAGTAAACCATAATACTAATTAATTACAATAGACCTTGTTGATAATATATATGGGTTATATTTATCTCATTTTTTATGAGATAAATAAATTTTCTACACATACAAAAGAAGGGTGGGTCCCACCTTTTTTTTCTCTCTCCTCTTAATTACCGGTGGGTTCTATTTTTAATCTTGTTTCTACAACATGAGATAATCATTTTCCTACAACATAAGAAAATTATTTTCCTATATATATATAGGGTTAAACATTTCTACAACCACTTTAGATAAGGTTGTCTACAGCTACCTTTTTAACTAAGTCTGACACATAAAAATTGCATTTTCTCTCTCCGCCGCGTCAGCCACCGACAATGTCTGGGAAGAGAAAAAAAACAACTTTATTGTTATTACTATGTCTTATTGGTCACACTTAGTGGGCTGTAGATAATGTTATTGGTCACAAATATATTTGGTAAACCATAGCTTATACTAACAATAGACCTTGTTGATAAATATAATATTGATTTTCTATATTGCAGAAAATACTCGTGCAGCTTATCCTATTGAGTACATTCCTAATGTAAAGTTACCATGTGTTGGTCCTCACCCAAAGAATGTAATACTTTTGGCATGTGATGCATTTGGTGTGCTTCCACCTGTGAGTAAGCTAAACCTGTCGCAGACCATGTATCATTTCATCAGTGGATATACAGCTTTGGTAATGTCTCAGTAACTTACTATACTTCTATCTTGTTAATATTGCTTCCTCTGTATCTCTCTCTTATAATTTCTTTTCTGTATGATAACTAAAGGTGGCTGGCACGGAGGAGGGTATAAAGGAGCCACAGGCAACATTTTCAGCTTGTTTTGGTGCAGCATTTATAATGCTACACCCTACAAAGTATGCAGCCATGCTTGCTGAAAAGATGCAGAAACATGGTGCTACTGGATGGCTTGTTAACACTGGTTGGTCTGGTGGAAGGTATGCTATTATTTGTGATCACTAAAATATAATTTTTTCACTTTAAAATATAAATAAAGAGGGCGAGGCTAGAGGAGTGATAAACCTGTTTCTTTATAACTGAAAGCTCACATGTTTGAATATTGGAGATAGGCTCTTTAAAAATATGTATGAGATAAGGCTGCATACAAGATTTAGCCTCATCTCTACCTTAGTTAGTCGGGGTTTGATAGGGTGTGGTTTATAAAATTTATATCTAACTTTGTTCCTGCTTCTCTCAAACTGCAGTTATGGTTGTGGAAGTCGTATTAAGCTGCCCTATACAAGAAAAATTATTGATGCTATTCATTCCGGAAGCCTATTGAGTGCAGAGTACAAGAAGACTCAGATTTTTGGGCTTGAGATCCCTACTGAAGTGGAGGGAGTCCCCTCAGAAATTCTGGACCCTGAGAACACGGTTAGTTGTCCTAGAACATAATAATTTTTTCAATCATTTTAAGTATTTTTCCATTTTAAAAGTCTTTTAACATTGGACATCTTGTTCTGTTGCAGTGGTCAGACAAAAAAGCCTACAAGGAGACACTGTTGAAGCTGGCTGGATTGTTCAAGAAGAATTTTGAAACCTTCACAAACTGCAAGATTGGCGAGGACAACAAACTCACAGAAGAGATTCTTGCAGCTGGTCCAATCGTTTGATGCTTAGCCACTCCTCCTCCACCCTTTCTCTTTGCTTGGATGGCTGTTGATTTTGCACTTGTTGATTACTTGGATTTGAAAGAAAGACGATATTTGAGTACATGACAGCCATTATGCCTTGACACTTAGAAAAGTTAAAAAAAAAAAATTGCTGCTATTGCAATTAGGTCGTGTCTTGTCTTTTTCTTATTTTCTAAAGTTGGTTTATCCATGAGAATATTTAAGCCCTGACTCTATTCTATGTAGTAAACTTCATCAACAGCCATATCAACCAACCAAAATCTTTTGCTTGATCTCCCAAACAGTTCTGAATATGTCAACTTGAGTTAGTGTGAATATAACAACCAAGATTAACTATGAAATCACAGACTTTATACTTGCGTATGACTTTCAGTTCATCAAATATTTCCGGAATTTTCAGAACTGAACCATCCTCATATATAGTCATAGATAATCTTATTCTGAACTGAACCGTCATTAAGAAAATGCTTGTTCACAACAACAAAGTCACCACTGAAGACAAATAGTTAGCAAGCAAGAAGGGACAATAATATGCCAAGACGGACGTACATAATAAAACAAAATTTTGCAAAGCAAACTTCAAAACTGGGACTACAGATATTAGAAGTATATGGCTCAAAACACACATTATTTCCATGAATCTGGCTAGTTGATGAGGTTGGCATTGGGGCCACAAGAAGTGAATTTTTCTCACCCTACTTTGATATCTTCTCCAGAAGTGCATCACAATCCCAACAATTTGAGTGTGCCACACCCCCTGTACGTTGTGAAGAATTCTCTGGGAAATAATGAAGTCACCTAAGCCACTGGGAATATTTTGGATGCTTAGATTTCTAATTTTCGGCCTAGAAATTTATGTTGAATATACATGTGCATTTAGGCTCCACATCTGCATTGGACCAAAACTAGTTTTATAATTACACTTGTTCTCAGGAAATAAAAATGAAGGGAAAGCCTTTCACATTGATATACCTGCTTATAGGACTACCACCCAATGTTTCATAGGGACCTTGTTTTGCTGCTAATTCAGAAGATCTTAGAGCATGATAGTATCAAGTTTCAAATATCTCCTTGTTCACCTCTTGTGCCTACACTCCATATTTAATTAAACTATCCGATTGAAGAACATCTAACTTAAACTTCAGAAAGATTAGAAGACCCAGAACTCAGGTGAACTAAATGCCTTGCGAAGTTATTAATATACATTTTATATTTTATTTGTTTGCGGTTAGTTATTTTATTTTGAGCCTAGTACTAGCTTTCTGTTACAAGCACAGGTTGAAATAAAAAATGGTTGAAAATTGTTGAAAAATTTTCACATATGAAAAAAGGGAGTACCCATCGTAGCACTAAAGATTTGTCCACAAAAATTATCTAGAAACCAAATAAATGCGGGCCTAACTCAGGAAGTACGCCTGAAATGTCCCACTTTTCCACTTACATATCGTCATAGTGCAATTGATGTCAGATTACAAATAGCTTTTTGTGTTGACTTGTATGCTCAATAATCTAAGGGTGTATTGGTTTGAAATTTCAAAGGATTTTAATGGATTATTTTTGAACAAAAAAATTCGTTTGTATTCGATTAGGATTTTAAAGGATTATTTTAGAATCCGTTCAAATTCGTTGGTATTTAATAAGGATTTTAAACAATGAAATCACAATCTCGTGGTATTCAAAAATCCAACGATTTTAATAGATTTTCTATTAGTGTGGATTTCGTGAAACTTTTTAGTGAAAAATATAAATATGATGCCTCTCTCACAATCTTACCTTAACCCCTCAGATTTCTTGAGATTCTTCTATTGTAGTGTTTTCTTCTTCCTTTGGCAGGTTGACTGCTTGAAATTGGGTTCCGTCATGGGAGCTTCATCAAAACTAAAAAAAAAAGACTTATTTTTAAGCGATTTTCATCACAAAACAACTCAGAAACAACAAACCAACGAGATTTTAATATAATCTATCTCAAAAATAACATATTTTGAGCCATTTTTTGAGAAATTTTGGAAGTTTAAAAAGTGATTTTTCAAGCTATGGGTCGCGGTTTTTCTTGGCACAAAAATGTGTGATTTTTGTATTAAAAACAACATAAAACAGTGAAAAATAACAATTTTTGTTTTACATCAATGAAACAATATCAATTTAAAGAAAGATTGAAACTTTCATAATATGAACCCTATATTTCGTAACAATACATTCATGAACGAAATTCCTTAACTATAGGAAACGATTTCAAATAATTTTGTGTCAATAGATAACTAAAAAAAAAAAGCCACAAAGCAATTTAAGGTTTCAATGTATTGACTGAAAAAAAATTTGAGAAATTTTCTAAACTTTCATGTAATTAAACCCTAAATTTTAGAATATTCAATAAAAATATGCATATTATGATATATGGTTAGAAAACTCTCATAACGTAAAATAAAAATCCCAAGATTTTCAAGATCAATTGCAAAAAATTCCGAACGAAATTTTATCATGAACTTTAGGTTCTATATGCAATTTTTATAATCATATATGCATAACTTTGATACCAAATGAAGAAGATAATTTTCAACCCATTAGATATGTGAAAAGCTGTTGTTTAGTAATTTTGAATGTTTGTTAAAAATTATATTATAGTTTACTAATTGAGAAAATTATATTAGGTTTTACTTTTTTTTATTAATTTCATTGCATTTCTTTGTTATTTTTTATGGGGAATATTATATTTACAACCTATTTTTGTTTACAACCTTTTACAATCATATCTTAACCGTTGATTTCCGTCAATCAATGGTTATTATTTTCGCAAATCAAACTCATTAATTAATATTTAATTTGGAAGTTGACTGTTGATATATAGTTATTATTTTCACAAATCAAACTCAAACTCATTGAGAAAATTATATTAGATTTTATTGATATGTGGAGAGTTGTTGCTTAGTAATTTTTGAGATAATTTCCAACCCGTTGTTAAGTTTACTTTTTTTATTAATATCATTGCATTTCTTTGTATTTGTTTTTATTGACTCTTTGTAATTTTGAATATTTGTTAAAAATTCATATAGTTTTTTGAAATCTTATAAAGTCTATGAAATCTTGATTGTAAAAAAAGTTTTTTAAAAAAGTTTATAAAGTTTCTCCAATTTTAAAATATCTTTTTATCTCAAAAAAAGTCTTTTAAATTCCTAATCCAATATACCCTAAGTGAACACGTTTAAATACTTAATTGAATGTGCCCATAATCTTCCGGTTACTTTACCTAATGCAAGTTCCTTGGATAAAGAAAATAAAAGATTTGTCAATGAAAAGAAGAAGAAGAAGAAGAAAGAAATAAAAAATCCACTGAACCAGAAACTTAGAAAAAGAAACAGGACTTGGTACTCGAACTTATAAAGCATGAAAAGGATTCCATTTTCCATCTGGGACTTCAAAATTTCAAACCAGATTTTTTGTGCCTGTATAAACTTCTTTGATTTTCACTATGCATATGTAACATTTTGGTAAAAAAAAAAAATAAGAGGCACATTTTGAAACATGCAAAATATGCCATTCAAGATTGATATTTTTATAAAATGAAGGGGAAAATAGAGAAAGATCAAACGGAAAGAACGTCATAAATTCGTATTCAGTTTTGATAGAAAACATGTATGTATGTCTTTATGTAGGACTTCAAGAATAAATAAGGAGACTGATTAGACCTCAAAAGGATCATTCTGCAAGACAACGATTGTTATCATTGTTGTCAAAAACTAGTGTAAAAGCGTAAAAAATTTACGTTTTTACATTTTTACTTAAGTGTTGCGTGTTAAAACGCAAGTAAAAACTCTCCCCGATAAAAACTGGTAAAAACTATGTGTAAAAACATAAAAACAGTATAAACGCGAGTTTTTACGTTTTTACTTAAACAAAAAAATGAACCGGGTCAACATTTAACCCATGACATAATTTTATTTTTATTTCCCCTAAATCAAATGCACAGTATCTTCTTCCAGCTATTCGAAAAAAAAAAAAAACTTGCAAGAGACCACTGTATTTCCATTTAGGAGTTTGTTAAACTTTATTTTGTTGATATTTTGGAATTTGGTTATAGAAGTTGTTAAACTTTTTTTGTGTTTTGGACTTGTGTCTTATATAGTTATGAAATTTATATCTTTTAAATATAAAGTTATTCATTGAATTTTGAGTGGTGACTCGTGTGATATTTTTTTTTTTACATGCATATATATATATATATATATAGGGAAAAACATCTATCCTTTTAAAGGATATAAATTTATATCTTTTTAGATCCTAACCGTTGATGGACGGAAATCAATGGTTAAGATCTATAAACTTATATCCTTTAAAATGATAGATGTTATTCCCATATATATATATATATATATATATATATATATATATATATATATAGGGTCAGGATCATTTTACACCAGTGTAAGTTACACTCTCAATCTTGTCCGTTGATCCCACTTATATCTAAGGGCTCTAATTTTTTAATAATGTGAGCCATTGGATACAAGTGGATCAATGGTCAAGATCGAGTGTAAGACTTCTAACTCTTACACCGGTGTAAGAATATTCTGCCCCATATATATATATATATATATATATATATATATATATATGGATCAGGATCATTTTACACCGGTGTAAGATTAATAAGTCTTACTCTGCATCTTAACTTTTGATTTCCGTGCATCCAACGAATTTAGAAAGTCATATGAATTAATTAATATTAATTAATCATTAATTACACTACAAATGAGAACCGTTGATTTCCGTCAATCAACTGTTAAGATGTGGTGTAAGACTTGTTAGTCTTACACCGGTGTAAAAAGATCTTGCCCCTATATATATATATATATATATATATATATATATATATATATATATGTATGGGTTAAAAGTTTCTTATGTGACAGAAAAATATCAACTCATTCCTGCACAAACACAATAGCATGGGTCCCATGAAAGTTTAAAACAAGAAAAAGGAAAAAAGCTGACAACGACGTGTTTTCTGTGTGCAGGAACGGACGAAATTCTTATGCAACATAAGAATTTGAATCCCCTATATATATATTATATATATATATATATATATATATATATATATATATATATATATATATATATATATATATATATATATATATATATATATATGGGTCCGTCGCTTCTCATGTGACTGCTGATGAGAAAAGTTGCAGCAAATTTTTAACACTAGGATACACGTGCGGATCTTAGGATACACGTGCGGATTCTATCAAAAAAAAAAAAAAAAAAAAAACCAGGATTCGGACGCATATCCTGATAAAAGTAAGTGTTGCTGCACTTTTTCCCTTCTGCAGTCACATAAGAAGTATTTTCCCCTATATATATATATATAGGGTCAGGATCATTTTACACCAGTGTAAGTTACACTCTTAATCTTGTCCGTTGATCCCATTTATATCTAAGGGCTCAAATTTTTTAGTAATGTGAGCCATTGGATACAAGTGGATCAATGATCAAGATTGAGTGTAAGACTTTTAATTCTTACACTGGTGTAAGAATATCCTGCCCTATATATATATATATATACATATATATATATATATAAGGGAGGGATCATTTTACACCGGTGTAAGAATAATAAATCTTACACCAAATCTTAACTGTTGATTTTCGTGCATCTAACGATTGAGATTTATTGGGAATTAAAAATTAATTAATGAGTGAGACCTAATAAATCTTAACCGTTAGATGCAGAAAATCAATGGTTAAGATTTTGTGTAAGACTTATTATTATTCTTACACCGGTGTAAGAATATCCTACTCCACACACACACACATATATATAGGGGCAAGATCATCTTACACCGGTGTAAGAGTTAGAAGTCTTACACTCAATCTTGACCATTGATCTTCTTGTATCCAATGGCTCATATTACTAAAAAATTTGAACCTATAAGTGGGATCAACGGACAAGATTGAGAGTGTAACTTACACTGGTGTAAAATGATCCCTCCCTTATATATATATATATATATATATATATATATATATATATATATATATTCTACCTAGAAACTCGATTTTCACAACATTGATTGTTACAACGCACATGTGCCCAAGTCCACCAATGCAAAGGAATCCATAGTAGTTAGTTAAAAAAGATAGATACTGTTGTATGGGGTGATTTGGGGATGGGATTTATTCATGTATGAATTCAGTATTAGTTTAGAGAGAAAATTAAGGGATCTCTAGGAAACTCTTGAGCCTAGGTGTGTTGGCCTTAAGGGGGAATTGATTGAGGTTTTCTGAATTTATTTTCTGCATTTTTTCTTATACTAGTGTATATAAAAGGAGATATGCCTCCGTTATTTCAGCAATTTCAGTATTCATTTTCTGGGTTCCATCAGCACACCAAAGGTTCACCACCAGAGACCTAGCTTCGAGCCTTAAGATATGGCCTCTCAAGCTAAGCAAAAGGACTAAAGGACTTTGAACAAGAGTCTCCTTATCCTTTCCACTCTGTTGAAATATATAGTCCCACATTGATTGTGTGGGCAACTAATGTGGCCTTTATAAGGCCTTGGGCACTCCCACCCTTTGAGCTAGCTTTTGGGATGGTGACCTCAAGATTCTTTACATGGTATCAGAGCTTGAGTTGACTATAAGGTCACAAGTTCGATTCTCATGGCCCCCCATTTTCAAGTGGAATTAAAAATAAAAAGCACAAAAAAGGTAAACCAAAAATTGGGCCTGTGCAATTCTACGCTTCTCACCCAAAAGGCTCTTGCGTGAGGGGGCGTGTTGAGATATATAGTCTCACATTGATTTGTGTGGGCAACTAATGTGGCTTTTATAAGGCCTTGAGCACTCCCACCCTTTGAGCTAGCTTTTGGGGTGTGACCTCAAGGTTTTTTACACACTCAGTTGGAGCCCACAACATCTTGTGTGATTCTTATGCTACAAGCGGAATATGTAATTACCATCAAATCAAATGATTTTTTTCTTTTTTTCTTCTTGGGTTAGGAAAAAAGGGGGCAAAAACTAAATAAGATGAAATTTTTATTGGCTCGTAAAGCATTATAAGTTTATCCAGCCAGATGGTAACTGATTCTATGCAAATAAGGAACAAAAAACATTTCAGTGAATATGTCCCCAAGCTTGATGCACGATTTCATCATTTATGAACGGACGCAAAGACCACATTTGGCAGTAGCTTTCCAGTTCTTCTGATGACAACTTGAGATTTAAAGCTGACACTATCCTTTCCTGCAACAAAAAGGAAGATTTTAAAGGTTCTTCATTTGACTGATTATAAGGTCACATATAGATCATTACCTGCATCAAATAGTCTCGCTTGACCATACTGTATAAGATAGCCATTAGGTCAGCTAAACGTGCGACATCAGTATTTTTCATTTTTCTGGTAGTTGTGACATCAGTACTTTGAGAATGTGACGAAGCAGCATTTTCCTCCTGAGTAAGATGTGATTGCCATTCAAGTTAAAATTCCATAATTTCCATTACTAAATTTATATCAAGAGCATGTAAATCATGCATGAACCTAGTGGAGATTCCCGACCAAGCAGAGAGAAGATAATGGCCTTGCATTAAACGAGTCTCATCCCACAGTTATTAGGCCTCGCTTTTCACTTTGAGAGTTGAGGGTGGGAACTATGCAGAAAAACGGGGGAAAGAAAGAGGGGGAGAGAGGGAAGGGGGGGGGGGGGGGGGGGGGGGGGTGACTTCATAGATATCATGACAAGCTTGACATAACTCTAAGTATTTCAATACCAATAAGATGTATCAGATAGCAGGAACTAAAGATCATGAGCTAACAAACAAAAAGGATATGATATAACTAAGATTAAATGTGGATACAAAAACCCTCTTTTTTTTTGTTTTTGAAAAATTTGGTTGTTTTCTTTTCTCTCTCTCTCTCTCTGTGTGTGTTGAGGGGTGGGGGAGGTTGAAGAGGGAGAAATTCATTCGAAGGTATATATCTGCGTAAGAAGATAGCAATTGCATTAGAAATTCTCCCAAAAGAAAAATTATAACATTTACCAAGTCATTATAGATCGCCTGCTCATTCAATTCAACATCAAAATCCAGATCTGAGAGGGCAAATAAATTTCCATGTACATTTTGTAGAGCACTAGTTACATCACCCAATAAACCTTCAAGTTCATTAAGTATTACCTTGGCTGCAAGACATACATGACCAGTTATTTGTCAAACTAAAACAATGAAGGGAAGATCACCAAGATGATTATACATTAGGTTCACATCCCTAGAATATATAAAACACACAACTCACAAAACCCTGGACTAACATGTTTTTCTTATCCCACTGCAAAATAGGGGGCTTGATTTTGTTAGTAAGGGCCTTCACATTAATGATAGCCACTTTGTGCATCTAATAGAACATTTTCATAGAGAAGCAGAAAGGAAGAAATTACGCATTAAGTAATGCAGATTAAGCAATGTTGATAAATTAAAAGAAGCATTAAAATACGCTGCCAGGTAGGTAGTTTATTACAAGCTCAAATGTTGAAGTAATTTAAACTGAAGACAAAAACAATAAAGGCCCAACTGTCCAAATGGTTAAATACGTAACAATTTTCTTTTTCAAATACTAAAATTAGAAATATATATAAAACCCTATATTATGACGTATATATGCTTATTATAGCAGAAAGTGATCAATCAGATAAAAAAAGAGGCAATACCTTGCCTTATATGGTTAAGAACTCCATGTTTGCATGAGTGCACTTCCATATGCAGATTTTGCCATATTGAAACAGTTATATAATCAGGGCAAAGAAGTAACAATAAAATTAAATAAGTAGAATATAAATTTCCTAACCCCTACTCTCGCAAGTTGGGGTTTTATATTTTCCCTTATCCCTACCCTCGCAAGACGGGTTTTCACATGGAGTGGTTGTTAAGTAGAACTTAAATTGAAAATTGATAACAAAAGAGTTTATAATGTTGTTTCAAGCACATGTTAAGTAGAACTTAAATTGAAAATTGATAACAAAAGAGTTTATAATGTTGTTTCAGCACAGATGTTTTTCGGAACTAATAGAAAAATATAATATAAAATCATTAATGTAATCTCACCTAATAGCTTAAGCTTCAGGATTGAAATGGTTCTTTACATAATATTAGAGCTGACAAGTCATATGATTGGTTGCACCACTGTCAACAATCCATAACCTTTCAAAATCAATGCCAGAAGCCAAAAAAGACCGAGTGTATGTGTCCTTACCAGTCAAAGCACGAGAGCAAGAGTAAGATGTCTTACTAAAAGTATTCATAAGGATTCACAATGAGTTACCGAAGGTCCCCAAACAGTGATAAGAATATTAGATTTGAGCAACAGAAGCTTGAACGAACCTAAAGATCCGAGCTTTATGGGAAAACAAAGACCCACAACCCAAACATTGTCGGATTGAAAAGACGAGGACAAATCCGGAAAGAAGAGGCCGAGGCGAGCACGGCGAAAGCGAGCAATGACTGAGAGGATGCTTCACGCATCGTCACGTGTAGAGAGACAGCCGGTACATGGAGGCACGCATGGCTGTTTCAGGTGATGGGCTCCTAGGTTCCAGCCGATTTGGGATGAAGACCTCACCTTGGGACTCACTGGTCTAAAAAACGGTTGGAAAAGTGGTAAATTGGAGAGGCGGTGGTTGAAACTTTCAGGTGTGTGGAGGCACGCGAAGGAATTTTGGGATGCAAGGGTGCCGTAGGATTGTATATCTGGAAATTCTGAGTGAAAAAGTTGTCTTCTTGACCGGAAAAGTTGTCGAAATTTTTTTTCAGTTGCAACTGGTGACGGAAAACTGACTGGAAGTTGAGGCACAACAACAGCGCAAGTGGATCCGCACTAAAGGCATAAAGAAGGATCTGCGCTAGTGGTGGTGGCTGCAGAAGCAAAAGGCTCCCAGTTGAAAGGAGGAAAACTGAAAATTATTATTGATCTTCAAGAGAATATGTACAAAGGAATACAATATATATATATATATATATATATATATATATATATATATATATATATATACTAATGGGTCTAAAGGAATGAACTCAAATCCTAAAAATTAAGGAAACACTAATCTGACTAATAAAGGAAACAAATATTACAGATATTTTCCATATTTACAATAGGAACATAAGGCACCAGATATGACTAATTCTTTCGACTTTTGATCAAAATTTGCCATTAGTAGATATTTGATGGTAAACTGACCAAAAAAGTGAATAAAAGAATAAGAGGGAAGTTGAAAATGAGTGAAAGAGGGAGACAAGAAACAAGAATTGCAAGCAAGAAATGTCAACACAATTAAACTGACCATCAAGACATTGCTTTGCTAAATTCATATTTAACACAAGAATGAAAAACAAGTGGGATCATTTAATGAGAACAAAATTTGTAAATAAAAAATTTCGAGAAAATTTTGAGAAACTGCAGAGTTACGTGAGACATTATGAAATAAAAATAGCTTTGAAGAATTCAATATTAACTTAAGAAAAGCACTCATAAAAAAGAATCACTCCGCCACATTTTTGTTGAATAAAGATTTATGAATTGCTTTTAACTAAAAGGGTCAAAAGAGAGTTGTACTTTGGTATCACTGTAAACCCTTCTTGAGACGTATGACATACCCTAACCTTGAAATGGTACACAACCTACCCTCTCCTTAAACTTTTAACCACCAAAATAAAAATAAAAAATAGAGTTATACTTACAATTGGTTACACTCTGGACACCATCATTGGGGTTCCTACATCCAGAATTGACATAGGATTCAACTCTCTTCGTTTCATTAGCTACGATTATCTTGTTGACTAATTTAGAATTAGTATCTATAGGAGGCCTTCGAATAAACTCTGCAAAATAAAAGTGAAAAGTTATAACATTAGTCAAAGAGGAAGCAATAGCATTATTTTATGTTAACTACTAACACATAGTAAACAAAACAAAAATCTGTGAAACTACCAAGTGCTTGTTGAAAGCCTGACAGCAGCCTGCTTCCAGCACTTCCCAACTCATCAATCTTTGTGATCCTATCATAGGGTAGTTGTTAAGAAACATAAACTTAAACCGAAATATTTTGTCATAAAATAATTACTAAATATTGCTATTGAAGTAAAAATTCAAAAAAAAAAAATATATATATATATATGTATGTATATATATATTTATATATCTGGACAATGTCTCATAGGTCATAAGAATATGCCAAGAAGTACCTGATTAAAAAAATTTAAGAATGCATTCTTTCCAAAAATGCTATTGACGCGGTAAGGTTGCTCCTTTGTGACCGGAAGGTCAGAAGGAAACAATCTCTTTATAAAAATACAATGGTAAAGCTAAATACAATCGACCATCACCCCTATCCTCACAAAGTAGGGGAGCCTTAGGCTCTGGGGTTTGTCTTTTTTCTTTCCATTTCCTAGCCATCAAACATTCTAAATGTTTTTTCCCACTAACCCAACCATTTATCAGTTATCATCACCGCCATCCCCTTAGAATAAGGATCACCTACAATTATTGCATATCAACATAATTATCTTGTAGCCACTAGGAATGAAATAAATCTTCAATACACCTATAGTACGTACTCATTTGTTGAAAGTAGAAATAAGTGGGACTCATATGACATTAATCATAAAGAATTGGTAGAATAAAAAAATCATACACCTACAAGTTAGTTTTGGAGAAGTTTTCCTAGGAGTGGGCTACTAGTTAGTTATTATGTGGTTTGTAGGTGGTCTTAAAAAATCAAACCTTCATGATGTCTTTCGACAAAAATTACAACAACATCCACCTATAACTATAACTGATGCTTATAATATTTGCATCCACATGAAATTATTCTTTCAATTTATTTATTTCATTACATATCTAGGCATGAATCCAATTTTTCAATTGGAAGCTCCTTCAGAAACTCAAAAAACTCAACGAAAAACTATGATTCTTGAAAGATAGCATTCATGAGAGTGAAAAAATTATTCCCCGTCGTATGGAGTTCCCAACCTTACAAGAACAATATCCCAAGGAATTTTTCAATTTTCAAGGGTCAGCCAAGGCAAGCACCTAACTTATTTCCTTGAAAAACAAATAAAACTACCATATATTTACCAATTACTTTGCAAACCTATCAAAATACAAAAAGCTAAGATGTAGTAAACTTAGCAATTACCCTGTCATGAAATCTCTGAATTTGTGGAAAATTTCTTCCTTCAAGTCAGAAATTGACTTGTCATCCTCGCTTCCCATTCTGCAATTAATATCAAAGAGTAGAAATTAATAAAATAGCTTCCATACAAGAGAGACTTCAGCAGATCATCTCATAAAAATTAATATTCTTGGTTTGATTCTAGACTCGCATAGGCTAAAAAATTGATTTACAAAGCAAGCTCATATATGTAGAATATTCTAGAGTCTTTTTTAGAGTCTAGTCTCTTTGATTAGTGTGATGCCTCTTCGTTTGTTGTGTACTTTTATTTATTTTTATTTATTACTTCAACTCCTTAACTACCTTGTAATCTGTATATATAGAACTCTTTGGGTGTCAATCAATATATGAAAAACATTTCTGTCTTATATTTCATCATGGTATCAAGAGCAGGTTATCCTGTGGTCATCTTGTAAACCTCCACGTCTTTTTTTCCTTTTTTCTTTTCACTGTTCGTCTTCTATAACCCAAATCTCATATCTGGACCGCTCCAATCACGAAACCAAGGCCACCACTGGACTCAGAAGTCATTTCCGAGTCGACCCACGTCAGCACCGTCGCCGGAAAGTCAGCCACGCGCCGCCACAGCAGAGCAGCCTCTCCGGCGCGTGTGAGCCACGCGCCGCCCTGCCGGTCTCCGTTTGACACGCGGCTTTCACAGAACAGCTCGCCTGGCCTCCCTCTTCCTGTTCTGAGGGTTTAAATCACGATTGGAGCACTTTTTTTGCTGGGTCTTGTTGTTTCCTCTTCGTCAAGCTCGTCAAGCTTTGTTCTGAACGTTTTTTTTTTTTTTTGAACAATGGAAGATGAAAATAATGAGGCTGAGAATAAGCATTATGACAAATCACCCGATGGAGTTTCCGGTGTCTCTTCTCCTCCCTATTTTTCGTCTTCCGGAGACAACCCAGCTATACAGATTACAAACCACCGTTTAAACGGTAAGAATTATGTGCAATGGCATCAATCTGTCAAGCTGTTTATCCAAGCAAAAGGGAAAATGGGGTATCTTGATGGAAAAAAGGAAAAACCCGAAGCTGATGAACCTGATTATGATAAATGGATGACTGAAAATGCCTTGGTCATGACCTGGTTGACTAACTCCATGGATCCTGATATCAGTCAAACTTATTTGTTTCTTGATACGGCTCAGGAAATTTGGGATGCCATTAAAGAATATTATTCTGACCTGGGCAATGCTTCTCAGGCTTTTGAACTCAACACCAAGGTAAGAGAGTTACATCAAGAGGGGATGTCTGTTACTGAATACTTTCTTGCTTTAAAAACTCTGTGGCAGGAGTTGGATCTTTATGATGCAGCAGATCTTCAAGGTTTAGAAGCTAATGCAAGGTTTAAGAGTTACTTACAGAAAATACGTCTCTATGATTTTCTTGCTGGCCTTAATCGTGATCTTGATGATGTTCGTGGTAGGATATTGGGAATTGAAGATGGAGAAGATGTTGACAGGGAGCTGTACCAAAGGTTGGTAGGAAAGCTGATCTACTTATCTCACACTCGGCCTGATATTGCATTTGTTGTTAGCATGGTTAGCCAATTCATGCATTCTCCTAAGGAAAAACACCTTAGTGCGGTTTATAGAATCCTCAAGTACCTCAAAAACACCCCTGGTCGGGGAATGCTCTTTAAAAGAGGACACAAGAGGATGATAGAAATCTATACAGGTGCTGATTGGGCTGGCTCTGCAATGGACCGAAGATCCACTTCAGGATATTGTACCTATGTCTGGGGAAATCTTGTGACCTGGAGAAGTAAGAAACAAACTGTTGTTGCCAGAAGCAGTGCAGAAGCAGAATTTCGGGCGCTAGCCCATGGCATTTGTGAAGGAATCTGGTTAAGAAGACTCCTTGAAGAATTAAAGATATCTTATTCTCTACCTGTCAGACTTTATTGTGATAATAAGGTTGCTGTCAGTATTGCTCAAAATCCTGTTCATCATGATAGAACCAAACATGTGGAGGTTGATCGTCACTTTATCAAAGAAAAATTGGAGGAGGGTAGTGTATGTTTGTCATATATACCTACCAAGGAGCAAACAGCCGACATTCTCACCAAAGGGTTACACAAACCCATCTTTGAGGATTTAATTAGCAAGTTGGGGATGATCAATATATATCTCCCAACTTGAGGGGGAGTGTAGAATATTCTAGAGTCTTTTTTAGAGTCTAGTCTCTTTGATTAGTGTGATGCCTCTTCGTTTGTTGTGTACTTTTATTTATTTTTATTTATTACTTCAACTCCTTAACTACCTTGTAATCTGTATATATAGAACCCTTTGGGTGTCAATCAATATATGAAAAACATTTCTGTCTTATATTTCATCAATATATCAGATCAGACAATTTAAAAATGTATATATAAAACAAATCCAAACCTTCTATTTAGAAGAATGACTTTTTTTAAGAAAAACAAAAAACAAAAAAGGAGCAAGTTAATGTACCTAATTAGGCATTACAAAATCAAACAACAAAATTTATCACCAAACTCTGAGGTGTGTAATATTTTTTTTTTTTTTTTTTAAAGGTTTAAACAGGTGCCAATGCACAAGGCTTTCGTAGGCCACCACTGTGGAGTCCACAAAGGATCAAATATACAGCCTTACCACCGTAAGCAGATAAGGCAATTTGAATCAAACTAAGTTTACCAAAGAACCAAAGGATCAAATATATATGAGCCAATTATATATATATATATATATATATATATATATATATATATGTATCAAGCATGCACTTCTCGATACAGTTCAATACTCTAATCATATACACTAACAAGTACAGGAGATTACGCAAGCAGTAATGCCCGTGTTGACCCGGTTCATTACACATTATGAAATTAAAGCAGTAATTAAGTACAATTGTGACAACCCCTGTATGCATCCAAGGGCTGCCCATTAATCGTACCCGAGTATTTTTCTTTAATATTAACATATACCACTAGATACGTTATTCCCGTCCTCTTTAAATGGACATGGGTTTTCTACATTGTACATACATCAGGCTGTGCTAGAAGTTAACTTGATTCTTCCTGACACTAACTTCCATCAAACCTCTAGTTCACATACATGTCTCTTCTCGTATAAGGTTTCTCACATGATCATGATTTTCAATAGATTTCTTGGCATCAGCATACTATATCCAAATTCTTTATACAGCTTGAGTATTCACATCAAACCAGAATTTTAACACATAATAGAATCATGTAGAGATTATTTAATAGTTATTTTGATGTAATATTCACATGCTTTAACCACTTAATGGATTTCCATAGTTTCTCATCTATTAACATGTACTTATACATAAATTCCTTCAAATGAACATCCATTCACAATCAAAATCTTCAAGAGAACGCTTACATACAATACATATCAGATCAGGACTTCTCCATACACCATCGAACCATACAGAGGGTACATCACAACTGTTGTTTCACAATGATTACAAATTTCAATCATTAAACAGATTTCCAAGGCTTCAACATTACTACATACACATCTAGAAGTCTTTTTTTCAATCAAAGTCATATATTTGCTCATCTAATTAAACACATAAACAGCCAACAAGTTGAAAAAAGAGATAGTCTTATTGATAAAATTGTATATTACATCTGTACAATTGCTCTCTATTTAAAGAGACTAAATAACCTAATGGGCTAAGCCCAAAGAAGATTCTAGAATGAAAATAAATAAACAAATACTATTATTTACAACACTCCCCCTCAAACTGAGAAATAGATATTTATCATTCCCAGCTTGCTAGTAAGCTCTTGAAACCTTTCTGAGGAAAGTCCTTTTGTTAGAATATCAGCTAATTGACGTCCAGAAGGGATGTATGGAGTGGTGATCAACCCGCTATCAAGCTTCTCTTTGATAAAATAGCGGTCAACCTCAATGTGCTTAGTCTGATCATGTTGAACTGGATTATGAGCTATACAAATTGTGGACTTATTATCACAAAACAACTTCATAGGTCCTTCACAACTTATTTTAAGATCACCAAGTATAATTCTCAACCACAATAATTCACAAACGCCATGAGCCATAGCTCGAAAATCAGCCTCAGCACTTGATCTAGCAACCACGTCCTGCTTCTTACTCCTCCATGTCACTAGGTTACCACAAAGAAACATACAATAACCAGTGGTAGATCAACGATCAGTTACGGATCCAGCATAATCAGCATCGGTATAAACTTCTAAAGAGATATTGCTATTACGCCGGAACAACAGTCCTTTACCAGGAGTGCCTTTAAGATATTGAAGAATTCTCTCCACTGCCTACATGTGTTTTTCTTTTGAATTATGCATGAACTGACTTACAATACTGACAGCATAAGCAATATCTGATCTAGTATGAGCCAAATATATCAGTGTCCTAACTAACCGCTGATATTGTCCTTTATCAACTGGAGGACTCTCCTCTTCATAACTCATCTTGTGATTCTGCTCAATAGGAATACTAAAGGGTTTACACCCAAGTTTTCCCGCTTTTTTAAGAAGATCAAGGACATATTTCTTCTGGCTGATAAAAATTCCTTCCTTTGAATGAGCTATCTCTATCCCTAAGAAATATTTCAATCTCCCAAGATCTTTAATTTCAAACTCAGAGGCTAGAGGTGCTTGTAGAAAATGTTTCTCAGCAATATCATCACCTGTTATAATAATATCATCAACATATACAAGGAGTACAGTTAGCTTCCCATTTTGGGAGTGCTTGAAGAATAGTGTGTGATCTCCTTGACTCTGTTTATATCCTAAGGCCAGCATAACCTTAGTAAATCTCCCAAACCAGGCACGAGGAGACTGTTTCAATCCATACAAGACCTTTTTTAACCTGCAAACTTTATTTCCTCCATCCATAGAGCCAAAGCCAGGTGGGATTTTCATGTAGACTTCTTCTTCTAACTCACCATTAAGGAAAGCATTCTTCACATCAAATTGATTCATATCCCAGTTGTAATGGGCAGCAAGGGACAACAAAGCTCTCACAGTATTCATCTTTGCAACTGGGGCAAAAGTTTCTTCATAATCAATGTCATAGGTCTGAGTGTAACCCTTGGCAACTAACCGAGCCTTATATCTCTCAAGAGTACCATCAGAATTATATTTCAAGGCATAAACTCATTTACACCCTACTGCTGTCTTTCTATCAGGTCTATCAACAACCTCCCATGTTTTATTTTTCTCCAAGGCATTCATCCCATCTTGCATGGCTCGAGCCCAATTCTCATCTTTTAATGCTTCATGTACTGATTTTGGGATCGAGATAGAATCTAGTGCTGAAATAAAGCTTTTGTGCTGCACAGAAAGGTTAGTAGAAGAGACAAAATGAGATATAGGGTGTTGGGTACAAGATCTTTTCCCTTTTCTTAGGGCAATAGGTAAGTCATCAGAGGAACTGGGTAAGCTATCAGAAGCAAAAGGCAAATCATTAGATGCAACAATATTAGGTTCAGAAACAGGAGAAGTAATAATATTAGAATCAGAAACAAGAGATTCAGGACTTATCAGTGGTTCAGACGATTGAGGTTGCTGGTGAAGTAGTGTGGGCTGCTTTCTCCTGTGATATACCAACTCAGGTGTCACAATCCTCCGTATTTTCGGTGTATCAGATGGGTCAGACACAAAAGAATCAGAAACAGGAGGAAGAGGTGTAGGAGAAGGCATGGAAGGTCCAGACTCAAAGATAGAAGGTGATGAATCTACTGAAGAACTGCTTTCCCCCTGAAGATGAGGACTTGAAAAAAAGGACTCAGATTCATGAAATGTGACATCCATTGAGACAAAGAATTTTCAACTAGCAGGATGATAACACTTGTAGCCTTTCTTATCAGAGGCATAACCAAGGAAGATACATCTGAGAACCCTAGGAACCAACTTACTGCGAAGATGTTTATGAACGTGGACAAAGACAACACACCCAAACACTCGTGGTTGAAGACTCTGCACAGAGGGAACAGAGGGAAAGAATGAAGTAATTGAGTGAATAGGACTTACATTGTCAAGGACCCGAGAGGGCAAGCGGTTGATTAAGAAAGTTGCAGTAAGAATAGCATCTCCCCAATAGCATTTGGGTACATGATTCTGAAAAAGTAAGACACGAGCAACTTCAAGAAGATGACGATTCTTGCTCTCAGCAACTCCATTTTGTTGAGGGGTGTCCACACAAGTAAGTTCATGAATCATGCCCTGATCTTGGATGAATTTGGAAAGACACTGATTGACATATTCAGTACCATTGTCAGACCTTAGTCTTTTAATTCTTTTTTCAAATTGGGTCTCAATCATTTTATAAAATCGAAAGAATAACCGTGGTACCTCAGATTTTTCATGCATTAAATAAACCCAAGTTACACGAGTGCAATCATCAATGAAAGAAATAAACTATTTATTACCAGAAGCATGAGGAACTTTAAAAGGACCCCAAACATCAGAATGAACAGATCAAAAGGCTCAACAGTTTTAATGGTACTAGAAGGAAAAGAGACACGATGGTGTTTAGCAAACTCACAAACGTCACAATGAAAACACTCAATAGACTTAGACAAAGATAATGATGGAAATAAAGACTTAAGAAAACGAAATGGAGGATGCCCCAAGCGTTTATGATAGAGCCAAATCAAAGAGTCGGCAGTAGACTGAGACTGAGTCAACAAGGTGTGATCTTTAGCATACTTTGCAGAAGATTCTGGCACCAGATAGTACGGCCCACCTTGCTCTTTAGCACCCCCAATCGTCTTCCCCGTAGCGAGATCCTGAAAAACACAGTGAGTAGGGAAGAAAGTTAAAGTGCAATTCAAATCTTTGGTAATTTTATGGATAGAAAGAAGATTAGTGGAGAGTTTGGGAACATAAAGAACATTTTGGAGATGTAAGGAAGGCGGTAAATATATGTTACCGGAACTCGCAACTGATGTGTGTGAGCCATCAGCTACAGCTATTGTATGGGTGCCAATAGTAGGGTTATAAGAAAGAAAGGAGTCAGAACAACAAGCCATATGATCAGTAGCACCAGAATCGATAATCCAAGAATGTTTATAATCAGTACAAGAAGAAAGAAAAGAATGAGCAGTGGAGCTCATACCAGTCATGGCCAAAGCACTAGTATTAGATGGCTTACTCAGAAAATCAAGCATAGTACGAATCTGCTCCAACTCATCTCAGCGAATAGAAATAAATTTTGAAGATGCACCATTTGAACCCGCCATAATATTGAGGTGAAAATCACACAAACGCAAATCCAAATGATGTCTGACCGAAGAGAAAACACAGATCTGGAAAGAGGAGAAAGCAGGAAAAGTTTTTGTTTTTTATGCGTGAACAGTACCCGGTGAACAGTAACGTGTGAACAGTAGCGATGAACAGTACCGTGAACAATGCTTTTTTTTTAAAAAAAAAAAACTATCCTGGTCGTCTGATGAAAAAGAAAACTACGTAGAATGATAGATCTGAGAAAACGGAGTGAAACAAGGGTCCTCACGGTCCAAAAGGTCCCCGGAGAAATTTTTCAGGCGGCGGCTTTGTGGCGGCGAGAGGCAAATAGGGTTTGGTTTTTAAAGGCAGTGATTTGCGAAAGCAGAGCCCTCAGAATCGAGAGCTCTAATACCAAGTTGAAAAAAGAGATAGTCTTATTGATAAAATTGTGTATTACATCTGTACAATTGCTCTCTATTTATAGAGACTAAATAACCTAATGGGCTAAGCCCAAAGAAGATTCTAGAACGAAAATAAATAAACAAATACTATTATTTACAACACAACACATATCATTCCTTATGCCGAAATGCCTTACTCACTTAGAACCTGCAAAATAGCAGTCCAATAAAGGGCGAGATAAACTCAAAAAGTGGCCACCACCCCTCAATCAGCATCAACAACATAGTACAACTCATGGCATTCAAATGCATATATCAATACAGCAGGCCAGCATTCTCATTTGAACATAGAGCCATGGAGATCATACTCCACCAATGGTATTTAACATAGAGCCATGGGGACCATACTCCACCAATGGGTGTGCCTTCCTCAATGGTGGTTTAATTCTCATTAACATAGAGCCATGGAGTGTGAGTTCCTCCATGGTAGTTCAACTCATAACAGTGTACACATATAACATTCAAGCACACTAGGTCATACACTGCATATCAATGCAACCAAGGAAGCTATATACTTACCTCAAATGATGAAAATTTAGTTAGTACTTAGTTTCTCTTTGGAATTCCTTTGATATCACCACTTTCACCTAGGACATCATCACAACATGAATTTCAGCCACAATGATCTGCTTAGATAATACAGGGTATCCGAAATTCAGTACTTTTACTTAGTTATTTTATAATGATTTAGCATAGTTTCAATAAAATCTTAGATAGTATAGTTCAACTTTTTCCTATTACCAAAACTATGGAGCAAACTGTCAAACACTTGCCATGCATGCCCGATTTTAGTGTCCTAACAGTCCCTACAAGCTGGTTCAGCTAAAGGAACCAGTCATACAACCGATTTTGTGACATCCCTAACCGTACGCGTTCGGAAGGATGTCCGTTTAATTGTATTGAAGCATAGAATAGAATATTATGCTAACAGCAGCCCAAAAAAATGAAATTCCCGAAAGAGCTTGTGCGAAAATCTAGAAGGACCAGTTCGCATTCAAAAATTCATAATAATTCAAAATCTTGATCAAATGACCTGAAATTTTTATGGTAGGTAGTAGACACCTATAGCTTTAAAATGACATATGGTTTGCCCCATTTGGGGGTCTGTAGCTACAAAAAAAAAAAATTACAAAGTGACAGACAGAGTTGCATTTCAAACAGAATTCTATTTAACAAAAGTGTAATTGCTTCTTACAACTTTAGTTCCTAGGTCTAACATTGTAATTTCTCTTTAACCAACCAATGTATATACTGAATACAACATCTCATCTTAGGCTACAAGACAACCCCACAGATTAAAATACATTAGTCTGAATATACAACCAACAATACATCCAATTATTACTAACATCCATCAAGAACATTACCAATCACATAATATTGTCATCAAAACTATAACAGCTTGCTGCACTCATTTGGCTCATCCTTCTCACTTTCATAATTACCTGCAAACATAGTTTACATCCCCAAGAGGGGAGAGAGAAATCCCAGCAAGCAATGGTATTCAATCCATTCATGTTACACTTATAGCAACATATCATATGACAAGGCAATTTCATGGACATCTTTGCGTATATAACGCCTTTTCCATATATATATATATATATATATATATATATATATATATATATATATATATATATATATAAATCTGCCTCAAGGACAATTCCAAGGCTCCCTGGAGAAATGTCTCTTGAGTACCTATGCGAACCGAGCATAGGTTCTTGCCCCGGTACCGGGTACTATATGATGCATGCTCAAACAATCATGATTTCAATTCATGTTCATATTCTCTTGACTGAATCATATGGTATGTGATGGGCCTATAATAAATAATCCAAGCCCATTAATATCTTAGAATTAGTATATATACAAGTTTAGAGTGATGTTTCTATTATGCATGTATTCAATTCTGGTTTAGTGGGAAAATTGAGAGATCTCTAGGGAACTCTTGAGCCTAGGTATTTGGTTTGAGGGGGAGTTGAGGTTTCTTGGGGTTTATATTCAACATATTAGTGTATGTAAAAGAGGCATGGCCTCCATTATCTCTATAATTTCAGTATTATTTTTCTGGTTCCATCAGTATGCCATGTCAATGTAATGATGCATTGCATTCAATCACACTCAATCAACAATCCAATAAAATGCATGTAAGATGAATGATGCAACATTGTCCATTCCTTTAGTACATTTTGTGCACTTTGCAACCTCATTTCAGCCATTGCAATCGCATAAAATCACACAAGCATATAACATATCACTATAGCAAAATCATGAGGTTCAAGCACCATTATTTACCTTATCTTTAGTCAATTTAAACCACAAGGTCTTCAACTCTTCCTGGGATTTCTTTTATCCAAAATCGGCTGAGCCTAACAGGAGTGAGAAACAACCGAATTTTGGTTATTTTCCATTCTACTTTCTACCATTTGACTTGTCATTCATAAGGAATGAAACACTCTACAATTTCTCTGTTCTGTTCAAACAAGCTTCATGGTAACATGCAATGATTTTAAATTCCACATTTCATTTGCCTAAAGAGAAGGATTGTACTATCCTTCATATGATGCAAGACTCTCAGCCATTAACACAAACAGCCTACATGCAACATATTTTAATACATGTAATTAGTTCCCATACTAGTTTCTTCCACAATAACCAACATGCAACAACATTAGCAAACCCCAATTTCAACTCCATAACCGAAATACAAGGTCCTAAGAGAAGTACTTACCTATTCTTCGATAACAACCCAAGGCTTCCAAGGATGAGCTTCTTTCTTTACAACCACAATCAATTAAAGAGGAATGGCTTGTTTGTCTCGGTCATGCCAGATTGCCAGGATTAAGGGAACAAGTGTTGAAGATGTGCTTCGGTTGGAGTTAAGTAATTGTGCCTTGAGTTTGAGCTTGACCGTCTAAGGAAGAATGAAAACGGGGGCCTCTAGGAATGAGTATATGTGTCACGATCTTGGGAATGGAAGGATTTACGGAAACAAGAGGAAAAGGTGAGTGTGGTACGGTTTGTGGGGAAGATATAGGTTGCTTCTTAGTTACTATGGTCAAGGTTGATAGCCGAGGATGAATAATTCGAATAAATCTTTCGTACTAAATATTACCAATCAATTAAAATTTTGTTTTTTCTATCAAATTTTTTAACTTTTATGTGATGTATAATATTCTTATTGATGAGATGTACTGAATTTAAGTACAACAATACTAAAGATTTATTCCAATAATGAGGTGAAAGGTGGGACTCTAATATTTTCCTTTTGAGACAAGTGTGCTACATGTGTAATATTTAAATTTAAAACAAATTAAAATATTAAAAAAATAAAATAAAATAAAAATTTGAACGGCCAACGCTGACGCAGCGCTTCTAGCGCCAAAATTTGGAGGAATTGAACGCTAAATAGGCGCTAATTGCTTGAACGAATATATATATATATATATATATATATAGAGGTAGGATCTTTTGACACCAATATCAAATTTTAATTTTGACACTTCATCTGAGAACCGTTAGATCAAAAAAATCAACGGTGTCACATGCTTGCAAATCAGAGTCGTTGATCTTTTTTGATCTAACGGCTCTCAGATGAGGTGTCAAAATTGAAATTTGACACCAGTGTCAAAGGATCCTATCATATATATATATATATATATATATATATATATATATATATATATATATATATATAGGGGAGGGATTTTTTGAATCTAGAATAAGACTTACAACTCTTACTCTCTATCTCAACCATTGATTTTTTTCCATCTAACGGTTATCTATAACAATTAATTAATTAATTATTTCAAATAAATAATAACCGTTAGATGCAGGGAAATCAACGGTTGAGATGAGGAGTAAGAGTTGTAAGTCTTACTCTAGAGTCAAAAGATCCCTCCCCATATATATATATATATATATATATATATATATATATATATAGATAGGATCCATTGACACCGGTGTCAAACTTTGAAATTTGACATCAAATCCTAACCGTTGATTTCCGTCAATCAACGATTATCATTTATTGGGAATTACACTTATTAATTAATCATTAATTCTCAATAAATGATAACCGTTGATTAGCGGAAATCAACGGTTAGAATTTGGTGTCAAATTTCAAAATTTGACACCAGTATCACAGGATCCTGCCCCATATATATATATATATATATATATATATATATATATATATTGTAACAACCAATTGGTGTTACTATCAATCAATTTTCACTGTTAGATCAATTATGTTGATCCAATAGTTATATTTATTTCTATTTTTGTGTGATTATTATTCTTTACATTAAATATGGAAAATCATAACTATACAAAGGTGAAAATAATTATAAAATATTAAATATGAGGAATCATAACCATACAGATATGTAAATAAATATAACCGTTGGATCAACATAATCGATTTAACGGTGAAATTGATTGGTAGTAACACTAATTGGTTGTTACAATATATATATATATATATATATATATATATATATATATTAAAATAATTATTAAATAATAAAATATAAATAAATAGTAATAATAATATAATAAATGAATGAATATATATATGTATATATAAATAAACTACAGAAACTAAATAAACTACATACATGTAAAACACATGATGGAAAACATGTGGAAGTACTGCAACAAATGCTTACAAAAATTTTCTAGAAATGTTTACGTTGATGATTATGTGGTTTGTTGTCATCTGAAAAATAATGATTATCTAGTTAGAATTTAACTAGTTTTGTTAAAAGGTAACGAAGTACAATAATTATATGTTGCTAACCGTAAAAGAAGAAGAAGGAAAAACACTGAGAAAAAAGAAAGAGAGAAACCGAAAGTAAAGAGAGATCAAAAGAAAAGAAGGAAGTGCAGGGAAGGTAACAAAGAAGGTAATATTGAGAGATTTAAAAATATTCTATTGTGTTCTTTTCAATCATTTTGCAAAAACGATATTTAATTTTAATACCTCTGTCATCTTATCGAACTCTTTTCTTTATATATTCTTCTGTTTGAGTTTATTCTTTGATTTTATTCTTTGTAGTATTGGTTTTCTTTTAAATTTTATTTCTTTTCAACAACTAATTATCAAGTTGACGAATTATTTGGTACCAAATAAATATGAAGAGAAACAGTAATTTTAACTGACGGAGCACTACAAAAAAATTGTGTGTTTATTGGCGCTCATTAATTGGCGTTCAATTCTGACCTCCGCTATATGAAATTTTTTTGGCGTTTTTTATTAATGCCACTTTCTAAAATTTATTTTGGCGTCTTCAAAATGCTACAAGCATTTTTTTATTTTATTTTTATTCTTTGGCTCTTTTATTCCCTAACCAGGGGTAAATTAAAAAAAAGATCACGTTTCTTTCATTTCCTTCTCTATTCTCTATTTTATTCTTCCATTCTCTATTCTTAGTAACCAATGGGTACTTGAACGTGAACCTTTGAGCTGCTAGAGTATACACTCTCCATTCTCCATTTAGAACTTCTCTTCGTTGGTTCGCTGTTGAAATTAAAGTTGATTCGTGTAAGTTCTGTTCGCTGTTAAAATTAAAGTTGATTCCTGTAAGTTCTTCATTCATCATATATAATCGAAAAACTCATGAAATTCAGTAATTCCTTTTCTCTCTTACCTTATTAATTTTAAAATTTATTTATTGGATTGTATTAGTTTTATTCTTCTTTAGATTTACAAATTAACATCTCTGCTAGGGTTTCTTACATAGGTAATCACCAAGATTTGTAGTGAAACTAAGATTTGTTCAAATAATCACCAAGCAGAATTTGATCCAAATGGCCTGAATTGGTATAGTTGTTGATTGAAGAACATATTACCACAAGCTTATGTATTCTTGTTCAATTACCACATGCTATTCAGCGATAGCATTATACGATTCTAAGGATTTGGAAATCACCACCATCGAGCGATAGGGACAATTTCATTACACTTGTGAGCTTCAAGATTTGCCAAGCCAATAAGGTGCACTATCTGGATTCTCTGGATTTTGTGGTATAGTAGGTAAGATTTCTTTTCTCCAGTCCTGTTAGAATGTGATTTTCAAATTTTCACCTTTGTGTTCTTTTGCTCCTTAGCTTCAGGTAATTCGATTCTCTTCTTCATTTTTCCATGCTGCAATTTCAATTGTGATTTCTTTTTCTTTTTATCAATATTTGGAGCTAATTTTGTTTCAAAAATGTTATGGTTCATTTATTTTTATTTTTTTCATTTATTTTTCTTTTATTTGGAGCTGTTGTTGTAACATATTTTGTAAGGGAGTTGCATTTTGTGTTTGCCCTGAAATAGGGATACTAAGCATTGTAGTGTTGCGGTGACCCTGGTAGAATTTTGGCAAAGCCCCTTCACATAGTTTTGTGTCATTGTACCAACAACTTAAGTGGCTTCCACCTTTATAGAAGAGTAGTCTAGTTAACTTTATGAAATTGTAGATTGTGTGGGGATCCCTGACTGCATTTGTATGGAGTTTTGGACGTGCCCTTATAAGAATCTTCTTATTTCAGTTTTTTTCCCTAAATATTTACACTTAATAATTGGCAAAAATGCTAAAAGGACGAAATGGTTCGGGATTGGGCTCATTATAAAAGAGTTAAGGAGTAACATAGAATATTGGAAAGGGAAAGGGGAAATTTTTAAAGCTTTTTATTGGAGCTAATTTACATGGAAAGTTCACTTTGAAGGGTCTACCTGTATATATTTTAGGTGTCTCTATGATTCCTTTTGGGGCACTAGTTGTACCACCAACAATATATAATCATGGGCAAATGACAAGATATGTTTAGATTCATGTAGTTTAAATATGCAACTTGCATCAAGCATGCTCAACCTCTCCAAGTATGCCACCTTTCCATGCTGCCCTTGTAGCCCTTTTGCTAATAACATACAAAATCAAAACTTTAGTTCTTAACTCAGACCACAAATACACATTCATTACCCATGAGCCATAACTACCTTTTAAACAATATGCTTAGAATATGCTAATAAACATATGCTAATTAAATAATATGATTATAAAATACAAAATTAAATAATATGCTAATAACACACACCTTCAAAACTTTGCTGATTCATTTTAAAATTTTAGTTCTCAAAAATTTGTTTTGGCTGTTTCCGAAAGCCTTAGTAAACTACCTTTCTACCCTGGTCAGAATCAGATTATGGCCACAAGACCCAGTAAAATTATAACATTATTATGCTTATAATATTTGTATATGTGTGTGTGTGTGTGTGTGATATAGACCTGTATAAGGGGCCCATTGAATGACAGGCCCAACAAAGGGCAATCCAATATTTAAATCAAGCATAATTATGGATAGATATCCATCAAGGATACTAATCCTAATACGACAGCATGGCAGACAGGCCTGGGCCTTTATTAGAGGCACTAAAGGTCCACATCATATTACCCACAGGTAACTCTTATAAATAAGAGGTAAACCTTAAAGGTACGTACGCTCTCTCTTACTGTTATGCTATCACTGTGCGCACACACACACATCCTTTGGCAAAGTCGTTGCTTGTTTACTGTGCACAGTGATCCACTTGACTCAAGGGTATCTCCTTCGTAGATATCTTGGAGAGGGCACTAGATCCAAGATGAACATACCAGCCCATTGGGTTGGACATCTCTGTCTCCAAGACAGAACATTGACGCCGTCTGTGGGAAATTCATCTTTGAATTTTATATTCCCACAATTCTGACTAAATATGGCAGTCCGTACAAGGAGCAATAGCCAACAGCCACACTCTCAGAATCAGCCGCTGGATCCAGTCCTGGAAGAGGTTAATCGACCTCAAAACCAGCCTGAGAATGAGGTGGATTACGATCATGTTCATGTCAGCAAGGATGTACCAGACACAGCCTCCACCCGAGCACCCCGCGACCGAGTTGCGGCTCCAGCTCTGAATAATCCTCCCCAACTTTCAGGGGATATTGTTGCTCGCGTTGTCCAATCTGTAGATCCTGATTCTCAACTTGCTCAAAATGCGTTCGCCGTAATTTTACGGTGAATGGAGGAGATGGAGAATCGTAACAACCTCCAGCGGTAAGATCCCAAAGAATGTAAGAAGAAAATACCAGGAGAATGCAAGATTTGGAAAAACGCTTAAAGGGAATGACAGGGCCTTGAGAGAAAGAGGTCCAAGGCCGAGATGCTAATGGCTGTGAAGGGGACCACAACCGGATCATCAAAGCTGGGTTACTGAGGTAGAAAACCAAGGAAGGCTCAATCTTGGGAATATGTTGGGTCCGAACCCGTAGAACATTGGAATGGATGATCAGAATGCTAATGCGCAAACTTTGACCCAGAATGCTCCAGCAGGAGCAAATGGGCAGAGAAACTGGGATGGTACACGCCCTAACCAAAATGCCCAAACTATCAGAGGACGCGCGGAGCTTGGTGTATATAGGAGGAAATACAATAGAGGGCAGTACAATAACAGCCCCTTTACTCGTGAAATACTGAATGCTCCTTTCCTGGAGGATTTTGATTTGACACGCTTGTCGAAGTATGATGGAAGTCAGGACACACAGGTCCACATGGATGCATTCAACATGAACATGTATATCCGAGGAATTGATGAGTCCCTCATATCTCGGATATTTGCTATAACTTTGACTAGGGCTATGCAGGCATGGTTCTCAACCCTACCTTCCAATTCCATTGGGTCTTTCGAGGAATTTGGAGAGAAGTTTCTTTTGAATTTTACAACAAGCAAAAAACATCTTTTGAATTTGCACTTGGGAAGATACGATAGCAACCTGAAGAAACCCTCTAGAGGTATCTCAACAGGTTCAAAGATGCGGCCTTGCAGGTGCCGGGTTTACAAGAAAATGTCCATGTCCACCTCATTGTGGCTGGCTTGGATGGAGCATCTAGACTAGCCAAGTCAGTCTATAAAGACCCAGTGAGGACATTGGAGGAATTCAAAACTCTTTCAAAGAAGTACCTAGAACTCGAGCAGATGGAGATAACAAATGTGCAATCTAAGGATGGTAAAAGAATGAGCTCGAGAAGTAGGAGCCCGACCCCAAGAGAAAAGGAGCGAACCGGTAATAAAAAGAAATACTCCAGAAGCAGAATCCCAGATGATAGAGATCGTGTTGGAAAATATGAGAAATACACACCGTTGAATGCCTCACGCTCTCAAATTTGGAGGGAAGTGGCAATGACGGAGATGAAAAGAGTAGATAGACCTCGACCCATATTTGACAGAGGAGGTTTGGATAAGTCCAAATACTGTGCCTTCCATGATGGACCGGGTCACAACACTGATCAATGCTAGGATCTCCGAGATGCTATGGAGAAATTTGTCAGAGAAGGGAAACTACGCCAATATTTGATCAAAACTCAAGGTTCCAAAAACAACAAAAGAAAGTCTAGAAACCAAAAAAGGAGCAAGAGTCTAGTACCCGAGAAGAAAAAGAAAAAGGAAAGGAACCAGCAAGATGATTCCAATAATGATGAATTCCCAGAAGCTGAATTTGATTGCAACGTGATCAGTGGAGCTCTTGGAGGAGGAGGAGACACTGTAAGTGCTAGACGAAAGTATCTAAAAGAGGTGTTTTCAATCAGAGATCAACCTAAATTCAAGGAGGACCCCAGTAACCCAGACCCTCCTCTGCTCTATTTCACAAAGGAAGATATGCAAGAAGTTTTGCCAGGGCATGTAGATGGACTGGTCGTCACTAGAACCCTGGTGAATTGCCGAGTTAAAAAGATATTCATAGATGCAGGAAGCAGTGCTGACATGACGAACAAGGTATTTTAGCATCAACTAGGAAAAAACGTGGAGGTATACATTGATGATATGATCGTCAAGTCATGTGACATGATGAATCATGTTCCTAGATCTGGAGCAGACATTCCAAAAGTTTAGAAAATAATGTATTCGACTGAACCCGGTAAAATGTGCGTTTGGAGTCCCGGTAGGAAAATTTTTGGGTTTCATGTTAACCCATAGGGGAATTGAAGCGAATCCTGACAAGTGCAAAGCAGTATTTGATATGAAAGCTCCTCAGAGCAAGAAGGAGGTTCAACACTTGACTGGTAGGCTGGCTGCACTAACCCGGTTCTTACCCAAGTCAGCTGAAAATGCCCTTCCATTCTTCAAATTGTTGAAGAAAGAAGTTATGCAAAGATGGAACCCGAAATGTCAATCCGCGTTCGACAAGGTTAAGAAATGCTTGTCAACCCCACAAGTACTGTCTAGGCCAGGACCAGGAGATACTCTAATCCTGTACTTGGCTGTGGGGGAAGAGGCAATAAGTGTTGTTCTGATCAAGGAAACTAGTAAAGGTCTGGAGCCGATTTACTTTGTCAGTAGGGTCTTGCAAGGTCCTGAGTTAAGATACCAGAGGATGGAAAAAATGGCTTTTGCCTTGCTGATTACGGCGAGGAGATTACAGCCATACTTCCAAGCACATCAGATAGTAGTCCGAACTAATCAACCTATACGGCATGTTTTGCATAGGCCGGATCTGGCTGGGAGAATGACTAACTGGGCAATTGAACTCTCTAAATACGATATAACAAATGAAATTCGAAAGGCATCAAGTCACAAGCTTTGGCCGACTTTGTAATGGAACTCACCCCGGTTAGCATAGAAACACGAGAAGCTGAAGATATTTGGAGAGTGTATGTAGATGGATCCTCTAATGATAAAGGAAGAGGAGCGAGGATTATACTCAAAAGTCCAGAAGGGGTGGCAATAGAACACTCTTTGAACCTGGATTTCTCAACTTCAAACAATCAAGCAAAATACGAAGCCCTAATAGCCGGGTTGATGCAGGCTAAAGAACACGGGGCCAAAAAGGTTAGAATCTTCAGTGACTCCCAATTGGTGACTTCTTAGAAAGAAGGAAAATATCAGGCCAAGGGCCCTCTGCTGATGAAATACTTAAGCAAGGTCTGAGAAATGATGGCCGAGTTTGAAGAAGTAAAAAAAGCGCATATTCCTCGAGGGGAAAACAGTTGAGCTGATGCTTGGTCGAACCAAGAGCTGCTCGGGAATATCTTTTCAGAGAGCAAGAGTGCAGAGTAATAATCAGGATTGCCAACAGGAGCAATCTACTCTGACTAAGAGCAACCATCTTCAACTATACGCAAGCGTACGCGTCAAGCAATATAGGGTATTGTAGTCCCAGATTTATCGTCCTCAGGGAGCAGTTGTGAAGTAAGAAGCGCTAAAGGAAACTTAATTTGTAAAATGGAGCAATAAAAGAAAGTACTATTCTCAGCTAAGCTTCACAAAGAGCAATCTCTGGGTAGCTAGTTAAACAATGTTAACCATTCTGAACCAGATGAGAACAGTGAATGACTTAGCACGGTCATAGAATAAAGAGGCTTCGATTTAAGTAACTTCAAGAACAGTCAATGAAATGAAAGTAAGAACATCAGCTGGTAAAACACAGTTTAGTTATCGTGAGGAAAAGGTTGTGATAGATGTTTGAGTTAAGATTAATTTCAGAAAAAGTCAAGTAGGTGTTACGGGTTCCATGTTTTCATCCCTTTGGTTAACCCTGCTTGGTAGCATATTTTACAAGTGGATTTTGCTCCTTCCCTTGTTTTACTATAGGTAAGCAGAAGGGTAAGGCCTTACTCTCCACGTTACTCCACAGTACTTTGGAGTTATATGCAAGGAAACCATGCTGCCTTCTCAAAAGAGCATGGATTCACATGGCAGCGCTCCCCATTTCAGGTGTTTCTCCCTCCTTTCTTCAGGCTAAACTACCCCAGGATCTTGAGAATGCTCCACACGCCCTTTGTCAGTGTTTCATCAACCGAGTGGTCCCGGGATGAGGTTGCCAGCCCAAAGGGTTTCACAAAATCAATAATTTAAACCAAAGAGCAACTTAAAATTCATTTATAAAATATGTGTTCCTTACAAAGTTATCCTAAGACAAAAGGGATTACTTCTATGGAACCCTCACCTACTTAGAGGAAGTTAGCTCCTAGTGAGCATTTTTACAAAAAGAAAACAAAGAGATAACGAGTCCTAGGATGGGCGCTGATGATCTTTTTGAGGAATGCTTGTTCCTTTTATAGGGTTCTTCATTTGATCTTCATTGTTCCTTTCCTCAAGGGTCTTGCTCTGTTTAAATCCTCTCCAATGGTAGCTTTGCTTCTTGCCAGCTCAGCTCCGAATAGAAATCCTCTCCAATGGTAGCCTTGCTTTTTGCCAGCTCAGCTCCGAATAGAAATCCTCTCCAATGGTAGCCTTGCTTTTTGCCAGCTTGGCATTAAATGGAAGTGGTCCCCCTTGCTTTTGGCTCCCTTTGTGAGTGGGAGTATCGGATTCAGGGAGGCACCTCCACTCCTTCTACTGCAGCTGACGTGGCGGCTTTTGATTGCTCAGCTTCTTTGCTTTCGTACTGTAGCAGAGGTAGCACCTCCACCTTCTCTGTTGTGGCTGATTTGGCGGCTTCCCATTGCTTCCTTTGAATGTTGTTGTACTACAGCAGGCTTTTTTACCTTTCTGCGCGACACTCATTTTTCTCTCTTCATTTTGTGGTTCCTTCTGATGGGCCTTAGGTGTCCTGAACAAAGCAAACTAACCCAATAGTCATATAAAAAAGATAATGTTAAATTTGCTCCAAGTCTACCTTAACTCCCACTTTCGGTATTGCTCTGGTGCACTA